TGGGCCGGGAAGATCCCACATGCCGCAGAGCAGCGAAGCCCATGCACCACAAGCAGTGAGCCTGTGCCCGAGCGCCCAGAAGCCCCAACTCCTGAGCCCACGTGCCGCAGCGACTGAGGTGGGCACGCCCCAGAGCCCGTGCCCCGCAACAAGGGAGCAGCCCCTGCGCCCTGCAACCAGAAAAAAGCCTGAGCAGCAACAGAGACCCAGCACAGCCGATAAATAAATAAAAGTATTAAAAAAAAAAAAAAAGGCAGACAGGAGAGGGGACAGAGAAAGGGAACCCTCCTTCACTGCTGGTGGGAATGTAAACTGGAGCGGCCACTATGGCGAGCAGTATGGAGGTTCCTTAAAAACCTAAAAAATAGAGCTACCAAATGATTGTGCAATTCCATTCCTGGGTCTGTATCTGGGAAAAAACTCTGAGTGGAAAAGAAACATGCAGCCCAGTGTTCACAGCAGCAGGATTTATAATAGCCAAGACAAGGAAGCAAGCTAAATGTCCATTGACAGAGGAGTGGATAGAGAAGATGTGGTACATACATACAATGCAATATTACTCAGCCACTTAAAAAAAGAAGGAAATATTGCCATTTGCAGCAACACGGCTACAACTAGAGATTATCGTACTAAGTGAAGGAAGTCAAAGAGAAAGACAAATACCACAGGATATCACTTATATGTGGACTCTAAAATACGGCACAAGTGAACCTATCTGTGAAACAGAAACAGACTCATAGGCACAGAAGACAAACGTATGGTCCCCAAACGGGAAAGCGGGGAGACGACAGATAAGTTAGGAGTTTGGGGTTAGCAGATACAAATTACCACATACAAAATAAAGTCCTACTGTGCAGCACAGGAAACTGTATACAATAAACTGCAATAAACTACAACAGAAAAGAACATATTAAATATAGGCATATAACCGAATCACCCTGTTGTACCCCAAAAGCTAACACAGCTTTGTGAATCAATTATATTCAGTTTTAAAAAATTAAAAAAAGACCACCACAAACTGTTCACCAAAGGAAATATATATGTGTGTGTGTACACACACACACACACACACACACACACAAGAAAAGATGCCCAATGTCACTAGTCATCACGCTGAGAGAAACACAGGTAAACCCCACAGTGATGCACCCCTAGACAGCCACTAGAATGGCTATAATGGAAAACGCCGGCTTCAGCAAGTGCTGCTGAGGCCTTGGGGCAACTGGAAGACTCACCACTGCCTGTGAACATTAAACACACACCAGTCATTTCACCCTTACATGGAATTTTGCCCAAGAGAAATGAAAGCGTATGTCCATACAAAGATGGGAACACCGATGCTAACAGAGCCTCACTCTATCTCTAACAGCCCAGACTACAGTAGCCCAGGGCTGCAGGGACGGACTACAGTTGCGCCTGTACAATGCAACATGCGTGTGCTCCAATAATACAGGCAACAATACGGATGCCTATATAATCTCAGATTATATTGCACAGAAGGAAGCCACCACCTCTCCCTCTAAAGGCAAAACATACTACGAGCATATTTACATAACTGTCTATAAAATGCAAGCTAATCGACAAAGAGCAAATCCGTGGTTGCCCTGGGGATGTGTGTGTGGGGGCTGGGGGTGAAGGGGCTGGAAGGAGAGGCTGAGAAGATCTTTTGAAGTGACTGATATGCTCATTCTCTTGACAGTTTCCTGGGCATCTCCACCAGTAAAAAAAAAAACACATCAAATTCTACTCTACAAATGTGCGATTCATTGCACGTCACTTTCATTTCAACAAAGCTGTTTAAAAAATGAGGGATAAGCCCTCAAAAGACAGGAACGGGCGAGCCAGGAAGAGGCAAGGAGGGATCTTAGATGCGCATCATTAAGTGAGAGCAGTCAGTCTACATCCTGCACGGCCGGAGAAGGCTGAGCAGTGGGAACAGTATTGGGGGTGGGGGTGACTGGGCAGAGCTCTGGGATTTTCAGGGCAGATGCTATTCTCTGTGTGGCTGTAATGAAACTCCCGTAAACTGGGGGCTGGGTGATGACGATGCTTCCACGCAGGCTCAGCAATGGTAACAAACATCCCACGCGGGGGAGGGTCTGTGTGGGATGCGGCACGGGGCAGGTGGGAGGTCACCAGACTGTTCGCTCAGGTTTTAAAAACTTCTCTTATTGTAGTTAAAATATACGTATGACTTTATCATCTAGACCATTTTTTAAGCTCAGAGGCATGAAGTACGTTCACACTCTGGTCCTACCATCACCACCATCCACCGCCAGAACTTTCTCATCATCCCGTATTGAAACTTTTTTCCACTCAGTTTTGCTGTGAAACTAAAACTGCTCCAAAAAACAAAGTCTACTGATTAAAAACAAAAAACAGGGAGACGGGAACCTACATGGGCAAACAGCAAGAGAGGAGGCAGCAACAAGATGCTGGGAGCAGAAAAGCAGATGAGCAGAAAATGACTTAAAAGATGAGAGGGAAAAAAATAAGTTGCAGTAACAATAAGCATACTATGAATATATCTGATAAAATTTCTACTAAAACAACAGGAAGATCCAGTTTTTCACTGCTCGGCTCAGACAAAATGAAGAGACCTGCCCTTTGTCTGGGCACCCACCCTTTGCAGGCCTTCCTAGCCTCTCTGCTGGTCGACGTTCTGACCAACAGCTGAACGTCGAAGGTCTTCAAGGCTCAGGTACACCTGTGTTCTTCTTCCTCCATATTCTTCCCTGAGCGATGTGATCCACACTCACGGCTTCTACTGAGAGACACCCAAATGGATATCTACGGCTTGGACTCTTCTGAATGTGAGTCCTGCAGAGTCGCCTGCTAACTTTGACACTTTGACAACTTTCTCTGCAGCGCTGTTTTATTAGCAAGTTTGTTTCCATAGGTTATAAACTATAGGTTTATAAACTATAGGTTTATAAACTATAGAGTTTATAGGTTATAAACTCTGAACACAACTACCCTGTGGTCTGTGCTTGCCCTGGCCTCACCAGCGCTGGACACAGAGTAGCTGCTCAGTAAATATCAAACTGACAAGAGGAGGAAGCTTCTGTGAAGCTATATGACGCAATTATTTAAAACAGACAATACAGAACAACATGGATGAGTCATGCAGACATTATGTTGAAATAATCAGACACAAACGAGTCTCAACTGTAAGATTCCACTTGTGAGAAGGATGGTTTGGAACTCAGAATCATGGGTATCTTGGAGACAAGGGGTATTGATTACGGAAGGACATGGCAGGAACCATCGGGGAGCCTGAAATATTGTACATTCTACCTGGGTGGTGGTTATACCGATGTGTGCACACATACATGCATACGCATACAACACATACATACATAGACACAAATCTGTCACCTTTTTTTGAAAAAAGGGACGCATTTTGAGAAAAAAGGGTACAAAAACAAAATCCTGATGAGAAATATATCTACAAGACTACAATAAATTAGAACAACCACTTGGCAGAACATAATGTATGTTATGATCTTGGTTTGGTAAAATAATATATACAAACAGGCTTTCTCATGGTTTCTACAATGGATAGAAATCCTACCCAAAGTAACTTAGACAAAAAAACTCATTTACTGACACCGACTTGGAAAGCTCACATAGCTATGCCCACTTGCCCACAAATAATTCTTACTAAGAACTTGAGTGAAACTCTCGAAGCTGTGTAAAACGCTATTAGGGCACCACTTAAAGGTGACCATGGAAATCACAAGACCACTCTTCTCAGTGCTAGGCCCAAGGCTGGTCAGGTTTTAGGCAAGCCTCCCCGAGTTCCACCAAAAAGCCTACAGCCTGTGTATCAGGAGGGATGTGCCATGTGAGTGCAGAAGAAAGACAGCAAGCTACAGTTCTCAGGCACGAACCCCTAATGTGAAAGGCAGGCAGAGTCCCTGAAACGCAGGCGTCTGAGCTGCTTCTCAGACGAGCTGCTCTCCACAGCTCCCTGCAAGGTGAGCAACAGCAAGAAGACTTCAGTGGTGACACAGGTCCTCAACCGCGCTGCGGGAAACCTCGGCAGGTCACAGGCAAATCTCTGTCTCAGGCTTCAACAGACAACCGTGTCCCCCAGATCGCATCACACCTAATGACATCGTAAATTCACAGGTAATCCTTCACTTGAAAGTTCCTAGGTCAAAAGTTCAAGACAACCTAATGATATCAATTTTATAACTACTATGCTTTCAAAGTGCTTAGAAGGAAAGAACTGGGATTATTTTACATGATATATCCCAAACGAGTATCTCACTCCTTCCATTAGTCAGTGAACAGAGGACCCAGGATACAGACGGAACCAAGAGATGCTGACATTTGACTATTTTGGATCCACAAAGAGTATTTTCAGATGGCTTACTCCAAAACCAGGTACTGTCCTAGGTGCTAGGACACAGCAGTGAACAAAAGAAACCTCCCACCCCCAGGTGGAGCTTATCTGTGTGTGTGTGTGTCTGCAGATGGGTGTCTGTGAAAGCAGCAGGTAACACACGAGTAAAATACATGGCATATGAGATGGCGCTACCTACTTCTAGAAGCACACAGAAGGTTAACAGGGACACAGAACATGGGGCACGCCTTTCCTTTATTTTATAAATAAAACATATTTATAAAATGTAAAAATATAAATATATCACCCTTGCTGATCAGACATCTGGGCAGAGTCCTACAGAGAGAGGAAGCCTCTTAAGAGCATTCTAGAATGGCAGAATTGGGATGCTAACATGAAAATGTTTGCCACACTTGCTGAAAAAAACACATGAAGAATTCCAGAACTGCTGGAGTATGGTTAACAATTGCAGCCTTAACTACCCTGCAGCTGAAATAAGCATGGACCACCCAAACCACATATGCTGCTCAGTTCTCAGTCTACAGGCAACTCGTGTTTCAAGCGAACACTTTATTTTTTGGTCCTTGTTTTCAGTCTAATAAATATCCATGTACGTAACACAGAAAAAGATAAAGCGATTTATCCTTACATCTTTTGAAGGACCTGGGCCATCACAACCCCATTCGTTAAATCTTCCACGGTCTGGCATGGTGCATCCACATTAAATGTCTGGATCTGGAAAAAAGGGGGAAAAAAAAAGAGAGAGAGAGAGAGAGAGAAATGATTTCACAGTTAACCATACAGCAGAATTCTCAGGCTTCTTTACCTCATCTTGGAGTTGAACACATTTTAAAAAAGCAGAACAGATCTTTCCTTCTCCCTGGCGTTAGCCGCCCTGAAGGTGGAGCTGGGCAGTTTCAGCAGGTTCAAGATCTACCCAGGGCATGGAGGGGGGGGCGCTACGCCTGGACCGATGGGAAGGTTTTCCAGTTTCTTGATGCAAAATGTGAGCTGACATTCCTCTCCAAGAGGAATCCTCGTCAGACCAACTGGACTGTCCTCTACAGAAGCAAGCACAGAAACGGACAGTCGGAAGATGTTCAAAAGAAAACAACGTGCTGTGCAAATTCCAGAGGGCTGACACGGGTGCATCTCCTGCTGATGTGACAGCCAAGAGGGAATCAGAACCTGGACCTAGGAAGGGGCTCAAGGAGAATAAGCTGGCAGGGCCACCAAGGAAGCAAAAGGGCTAAGCAAGCATCTCAGAGGGCAGCAATGGCTGCTGCAAAGGTTCCTGCAGAGGCAGCGTCTCAGCAGAAGACTGGGAGCCTGTGAAGGTTTCTGCTCCCCGAGCTGGTGGAGAACGCTAGGCTGGCAGACTGGAGTTTTAAATAAAGATCTGACTACTTAAAAAAAAGAAAAAGCAGAACAGTAAGAAATGTTTTCCCTTATGGGAAATTTCCTGCAGGCTGCATTGCAATTTTTTTCCTTTTGGTAAAAGGGACTGTGGAGGACGCTGGGCAGCTTCCCTGCATTCAGCATCCTCAGAGATAATCACCTAAGAAAGTCAGGGCACCTGCATTCCCTCTGCCAGTGACTGACTCACGGGTGGGCTCTCAGGCAGACAATCTGGACCAAACGGATGCAAAGCGAGGCTTAACGTGGGCTTCCAGGGAAGGAAAGCCAACCTTCCCTGGCGTGAATAAGCATGCTGGTGGCCTCAATGGCCACGAGCAGGCATCTTGTGACTGTTAGGATGAGGCCAACACAGTAAATGGCAGAGAACAGGAACAGGAAGAATGAGGTCCTGCAGGCCAAAACTGAGCCACCGGACTAAACCTCAGAGCCTCCTGTGATGCGAGATCCATCTCTTCTTTACATCTGGCCAAGCTGAGATTTCTTTCACTCAGAACCAAAGTATCGTGGGGGACTTCCTGGTGGTCCAGGGGTTAAGACTCTGCACGTTCACTGCTGGGGGCACGGGTCTGATCCCTGGTCGGGGAACCAGGATCCTGCAAGCTGTATGGGGTGCAGCCAGAAGAAAGAACCAAAATAGCTTGATAATACGTAGAAATCACAGCTACAGCTGGGTTAGATCCTCAGTTCACTGTGACTTTAAACATATCACGAATTCCAACTAACATGCTGTAGCTGAGAATCAGTAGCCACATTTGTTATTTCTGAGCAAGATAACACGCTGAGCCAACAATGATTCTACTCAGTAGTGCAACCGAGACTTGGAAAGAAATAATCTCTGAGAACAGATAAAGGATGTGCTCTGCAGTTTATAGGTTAGTAAAACGGAAGAGTACGGGCATCAGAGGATAGAACAGGGAAGAGGGTAAATGGTGGAAGACACGGTTAAAGGAGGAAGTACCAGCCTGCAAATCATCACAAGCCACGTTAGGACTTTATCCTCAGGGCAAGTGGAACAGGCAAAGGATTCTAAGCAGGAGAGGGAGGCTGAGCCATGTGCATAGTAACAAGGATTGCAGCAGCTGCAGCATGAAGAAAGGCTTGCATGGAGGCGGCAGGGAGGCCTGTGCTAACAGGTTTGCATGTTAACACAGTTCAGGTCAGTTCAGTCGCTCAGTCATGTCCAACTCTTTGCGACCCCATGGACTGCAGCATGCCAGGCTTCTCTGTCCATCACCAACTCCCGGAGCTTCCTCAAACTAATGTCCATCGAGTCGGTGATGCCATCCAACTATCTCATCCCCTGCCGTTTCCTCTTCCTCTCGTCTTCAATCCCTCCCAGCATCAGGGTCTTTTCCAGTGAGTAAGTTCTTCACATCAGGTGGCCAAAGTATTGGAGCTTCAGCTTCAGCATCAATCCTGCCAATGAATATTCAGAACCGATTTCCTTTGGATGGACTGGTTGGGTCTCCTTGCAGTCCAAGGGACACTTCAAGAGTCTTCTCCAACACCACAGTTCAAAAGCATCAATTCTTCGGTGCTCACCTTTCTTTATGGTTCAACTCTCACATCCATACGTGACCACTGGAAAAACCACAGCCTTTGACTGTATGTTAACACAGCTGAGGTCAAACCAGGTGACGACCATGGAAAAACTGCAAATAATGTTCAGGGGACCATCTGCCTTCAGTACGTTTTACTCACTGGGTCATATTCCTAGAAGTAAATTTGCTGAACCAAAGTGTAGGAACTCGATGTTTCTGATAAACATCACTGAGCTGCCCCTGACAAATGCTGTAGCAATCTACTGTCCAACAGTGGGGCAGCGTCCACGTCTCTGTGCTGTGCCATCCATCAAATCTTTACACCAAGAACTGTGAACAAGTGCAGTCAGTAGCTGCTGCTTCTTTTCTGCAAAGTCTGGTGGGTGGAGATGGCTACACGGTGGGAACTAAGGAAATGACCTGAAAGATCGCGCAGCGAGTGGTTTTCACTCGGATGTCTCTTTGGGAGAGGTGATGAAAGGGACCACCAGGCCCCCCAACACTAACCTTGTGGGTGGCAGAGGCTCAATATATTGTTAGTAAATGAATAGATGGGCCTGATAAACATCATCTGTAGGAAATGACACTGAATTTTACTCCACACCCCCGCCTGTTGCCTTCTCAATGATAATGTGGTGGTAACAATGTATTGAATAGTTTAAAAAGAACTAAGTATGCACTGTCATCCTACAGTTGCTGAATACATCTCTTTCTTGTAGGCTTAGAATAAAAAACAGCAGCGGACGAAGGCACACCTCACTCATCTCCTGACCCCCAGCCTGACCCAAAAGACCTCTCACTGAACATGCTCGGAAGGTAAACAGTAACTCCAGGGACTTCCCTGGCGGTCCAGTGGTTAAGGCTCCACGCTTCCAAAGCAGGGGGCACGGGTCTTACCCCTAGTTGGGGAAAAAGGATCCTACCTGCCGTGTGGCCTTCCCCCTCCCCTCAAAAAAAAAAAAAAATACTCCATCTCCAAGTTTGCACCTAATTTACTGGCCATGTGACCTTGGATATGCCACTTTACCTCTTGTAATACCAGTTTTTCAACCTAGGAATTGGGAAAAATAGCTTCTGGAGGGGTGCTTCAAGAATGAACGAGGAAACAAATGCACATTAGGTACCTGTAAAAGCCTCAAGCAGCAGTTCCCAGACCAGGGTGTACACTGAATGAACTGGGAAGCTGGAGAAGGCTGGGAGTCTATTTTTAACAAGTTCATCAAATAATCTGAGCGAGGGCACCAGTTTGGCAGGTGGAGCCCTCTGATCCAAAGCGCTACCAGATGCAAAGAATGAAAGATCAGAAAACTGCCACTGGGCAATCAGAAGAAAAAAACTCAATAAAGCAGGCAATTCAATCATGCAAGTAATTTACTTGTAAGACTGTTATCTGTTTATCTCGTGGGACTTAAAACTATTTTCATTTTAATTTTTTAAATGTGGCTTCCAAACAATTCTTTTCTCTGAGTTGGCTCTTGAGGGTTTTTAGCCACTCATGAGGATGTCCATCTCTGCCTTCAGATAAAAGTAACACGGGTCCCAGACAGACTCTCTCTGCGGAGTTCCCTTCTGAGGCGATAAAAATATTCTTGGAATTAGACAACGGTGATGGTTGACAATCTGTGATCACACCACAGAGCACTGAATTGTGCACCTCGAAAGAACTTTGTGGTACAGGTATCATAATTAAAAAAAAACAACAACCTGTCACCTACCAGTTCTCATAAACTCTTGAGTTAACATCTACAGGGTGTTTCAGGATAGTAGTAGAGTAAAATTTAAAGGTAATTGCACGCAACCACATTAGGGCATGAAACTCTGCCTCAAGGGTCATAACCTCTCTTTTAATTCCAAGAAGCTCTATTAACACCAACGGGAGCTCCACCTCACCGCCCCCACGAAGTCATGAGAAGGGGAAAGCTCAAGCTCACCTGGAATGACTATCTCCACGGCAGTGATTCTCAACCGGGGGAGCTCTTACTCCCTATGAGAAATTTCTAGTTGTAACAACCAAGTGGGAGCTATTGGCCTCCAGGAGGTACAGACCAGGGATGCTACTACTGAACCGCCTACAGTAAGCTCAGGGCAGTGCCCACGACGAACGTGATCCAGTCCCGACTGCGCACAATGCTAAGGTTACCAAACCCTGCTCTGGAGCAGTGGTTCTCAACGTGGGCGCTTAGGTCACGAACAGCACCACCTGGAAACCTGTTGGAAAGGCAGAGTAGCAGATCCTAGCCCAGCCCTCCCGAATTACAGGCTCTGGAATCCGGACCTGGCAACCCGCACTTTGACGAGCCCTGCAATTATGTTGATCCATACTAATGCATAGGAAACACTTCTCAGTGTCACCCTGAATACAATCTGAACACTGGTGAAGTTCCTCATCCAAAGTTACCCACAGTTAGCACACAGCCAAGTCAGGACTTGAACCCAGGTGGTCAAATTTCAGAACCTACACTCTGAACAGGTTAAACAGGCCCTCTACTTGGGGGGGGGGGGAAGATAAGGAGGTTAAAGCTTTTAAAAACTACGTCTTTTTGTACATCTGACTCTCTCATTCCTCCAGTGGAGGACACCAATGGTAAGCAGAACAGCGTTAGAAAGGCAGAGCGAGTAAATGGGGGAGGTATCAGCATAGGAACACACCCTTCCTAACTGTGAGCACTGGTGCGCCGTTTCACAGGCCACTGCATGAAAACTTACAAGGGTATGTTGATATCATTGTGTGGGGATGGCTTCTGTTCCCCTTAGCTTCCTGCCATTAATTGGGGGCATCCCTGACTCTCTGGTTTTTCAGCCTCTTAACCCTAGGAAAGAGCAATCGTTTCCTGCACAGCTCGAAGGAACAGGTGTACTACGTAGGGCAGACTTTTTCTAACAGGTTAAGAGTGCATTTTGACTCAGAGGGTGGGGAGACAGGGAGAGTGGAAATTTTCCAGCACGTCCTGCTGAACTTGCTTGGTGCATCCACTTTGATTCCGAATGTAAGCTTCAACTATTTTCCCTAGGTAGGATGATACTTTGTCTCTTAACAAACATTGCTCTTTCAACAAAAATGTGGAACGTGTGGTTCTGGGGCTAACCTCTCCAATACAACAGCAAATTTAGCCAGCATTTGGGGCAATCAGACACCCCACAGAAATGAATTCTGTACAGGTGGCGACAGTTATCCTTTCAAGTGCCTTGATGCTATTAGTTCAACTACTTCTGGTGGAAGAACTTCTTATAAGTACTATATACCTCTGGTCTCAACCTAAATGCTGTGGAGTGAAAATAAGCTCTTATTTGATGTTCGGGACCATAATTATATTCTTCAGTGATTGAATGTGGAGGCGTAGCCATATATGCAGCTCAAGGACTGAATGACCTAGGCTGAACCTCCAGCTCTCGGGTCTTCTCTGCCACTGACAACAACTGCCTGCATCTTGCTGAGCGTGGCAGTTACCTTTCCACCTACTGTGCGCGGAGCAGTTGCACAACCAGGTTGGCTAGAACTTCGTACAAAATAGAGCAAATTATTTCAAATGTGGGGGGGGGGGTCTTTTCTGAGGGATGTACAGCATACATTTTCTTTCCTCACTTTTCGTGTTGGAACTGTCTTTGGCATTAACCCAGCCTTCAGACAGGAGGGGAGCTACTGGAGTAAAGGCACATTTTCAGCTACCTCGGACATTTTCCACATTTGTAATAACAACTAGAAGAACAAACCCGGCATTTAAACTCAACTTTACTTGGAAAGGACTCACCGTACAATGTTTTAAAATGTTTCCAAGTCTTAGAACTGATTATCTTTGTTTGGACTCTGCCCTCCAGTTTTGTCATTGATAATCTCTTATCTTCCCCTTAGAAACTTTCCTTGATGAGCCTTCCAGTGAAATTTCAAAAAGGCTGTTTTCTACAAAGCCAGATCCCTTGACCACTCTCTGGAGCTGATCACCTTGATGATCTCTATTTTTTAACAACTTACCAGATTTTAAATAGATGCTGCCATGACGTGCTTCTCTTAGCACCCCTTCAAACTTCCCTCTGTGGTTCTGCCTTTGTTACTTTTATTAGCACTTTTCACCCAAATTCACTGCACTGATCACCACCTTTTGGCAGATGCCCTTCAAACACACCTTTTTTTCTGTGACTTGTCTTTCCAAACTTTAAACAATGCAGTCCTACTTCAGATTTAATACCCTTCTTCATCTCTGCCCTCTCAGCTTTTTTCTTTCTAGCACTGAGGGAGGTACAGACTCAAAAATGCTCATTTTCAGATCTTCCACCTTCTGTTTACAACCTCTGCCAAATCCAGTCCTTCCACAAAATCAAAGAATGTGGTGATTCTTTCCTTTATCTCTGTCCTCCCAGTCAAACTCTGGCCACATTATGCACCTTATCAGGTTTGTCTCTGCCCTAAAATACAGCCGTGAAACCCATTTCCCCACGTGAAGCTGCACCTCACTCTAGCTGTAAGCTGTGTGTGAATTATATATACTGCAAACAACTCGAAATGCCAAGGACGGCCTCATGCAAGTCACTGAACAGACCCATCTATCGTGGTACATACTGTCTCAGAAAACAGAACTTGATCCGTGACGAAAGACAAATTATGACAACCTCAGACGACTTTCACATTTGTTACAACCAGCCTAGGGCAGTGCCCCAGTAACCCTTCAACTCTAAGGTCCCCATGGAGGAGACTCAAGTCCACAATCCAAGCTCATCACCCAAGGCACCGCTAAATATAATCCGTTTGGCATTTGTTTCTTACCTGGAGCATTAATACATATGCTGTAGTCACCTCCATACATATATTTGTGCTTCATTCTAAAAGTGATACTAAAAGTGATATTTAACGTTTTTTAGCAGTGAGTGAAACGAAATCTCCCCAAAATAAGTACCGGATTTATCCCGTGGCTCTGCAGATACACACACACACATACACACCTCGGGTACTGACACCACACTTAAGACAAACACACAAGCTTGGGTGTTAATGTCCAGCTGTAGAAAAGGCTGCTACAGGCACGGTTCTTGGCGTGAGAACGGAACACCTTTACAGGCACATGTAAGAATTTTAATCAACATTTAATAACTGAAAATTGAGAAAGCCACAGCGTGGGGCTCCCCCCACCCTCCACAAATGTCGACTCCCACTACTGACGCCCAGATCCCCCCGCCTTGCGGATTTATTTCCATCCCGAGCACCTTCCCCGGGCACCTCTCCCTCCCTCCCGGATGCCCGGCACGGGCCTCCGTGGAAGCCCCCCCCCCCGCCCCGCCCCGCCCGGGGCTGGGCCGTCCTGCCAGCGTGACAACAAAGGCGGGAGCTTCGGGCCGGGGTCCCGGGAGCCCCCCGCCCGCCGTCCCCGCGGCGGCCCCCGGCCTCCGCCCGGCACCGGGGGCCCCGCGCCCCGGATGTGACGGCAGCGCCGGCCGGGCGCGGGGTGGGGGCTGGGGGACCCTGGGACGGCGGCCTGGCGGAGGTCGGGGGTCCCCTCCGGAGCGCGGCGCCCACCTACCCAAGTGAGAAGGCTCTCGCACAGCTCCGCCCGCTCCAGGGTCTCCACGTTGAACATCTTCCCGCCGCGGCTCTGGCCGCCCCGCCCCGCCTGGAAGGCCCGCGGCGCGGCCCGGGCTGCGTCCTCCGCGCGGCCGCCGACTCCGCCCGGCGCTGGAGGCCGCCGCGGCTCCCGCAGCGTCACCGGCGCGCCGCCGCCGCCTCGCCCGGCCCGCGCCCCGCCCGCCGGCCCGCGCCGCGCACGGCCCAGCCCGCCCGCTGCCCGCCGGCCGCCCCCGCGCACGGAAGCGCGCAGCGCGCGTGCGCCGCGCCCGCGCCCGGGCCCGCGGCAGGAGGAGGAGGCGGGGGCCGCGGCCAGAGGTGCCCGCGGGGGCGGCGGGCGGCCCCGGAAACACTCCGCGCCTCGGTCGCCGGGAGCTGTGAGGCGTCCCCGGCGCTGCAGAGGTACGCGCGGCCGAGCGCCGGCGGGGCCCCGGGCCCGGGCGGGACGGCGGGAGGCCCCGGGCGCCCGCGCCGGACGGCCGACGTGGCGAGCTCGGGGCGCGCGGACCTCGCGGCCCGGGGAGGTGGGGGACTGGGGGGGGGGGCGGCGGAGGGGCGGAGGGTGGTGGTGCCGGTCCGCCCCACCCCCCAGGGCGCCGCGGCCTGGCCCTCCTTGCCCAGTGGCCAGGGGACTGGCCTTCACCCTTCCCCCCACCGCGTTCCAGAGCATGCACCCTCTGCAGCGTTACCGATGAATCATTAGTCGAGACACCGTGTGCAGGAAAGTGCACACAGCGTGCGTGCCTAAAGACTAGTTAGTAATAAACAGGCAGGTAAAAAAAAAAAACAAAACAGCATTGCCTCCCCCACCTCCTGTTCCTTTATTGAGCACCTTCCCTCCTTCCGGTGACTTCTGTGATACTCACTTTCTTGCTTTTCCTTATAGCTTCCCTACCGACATCTGCGTGCCTAAACCGCGCCGTTTTTACTCTGCCTGCTTTTGAACTTCTGCGAAATTGTGTGTGTCATTTCGTGGCTTTTCTTTCCTAGTAAGTTTGTGCAGATCCCTAGGTAGTTTTCACTGCTGTCTAGTACTCTGCTGTATGAATACAACCGTCTGTCCATGCTACTGTTGATGGGCAAATTTTGCTCTTCTAGTTTGTGGCTAAGAACAATGCTCTAACATTCTTATCTCTATAGACAGGTGCCACGTGTAAGTTTTTTGAGAGATAGTTGCCTTTGAATCCTAGAATTTTTGAGGTATAGGGTATGCATAACTTTGCCACATGATGCCGGACTTTTATTTGGGGTGCAGCAAGATTAGCTTCCCAGCACACACCTTTCTTTGGTTTTCAGTTCCTGGAGTCCACTTTTCCTATTAAGACTAGGTTTTGGAGCCCCCTTTACCCATTAAGATTAGGTTTTGTTATTGAGCTTGCAGAACTGCCAAGACAGCATTGAGTTTTGTTGTTGTTTTCATTTATATGTATTTGGCTGCATCAGGTTTTAGTTGCAGCAAGGGAATCTTGTTGAGGCAAGCAGGATCTCTAGTTATGGCATGTATGCTCAGTAGTTTGTGTTAGTTGCCCTGCGGCCTGTAGGGTCTTAGTTCCCTGACCAGGGATTGAACCAGCGTCCCCCTGTATTGCAAGGCAAATTCACAACCACTGGACCACCAGGGAAGTCCCAGCGTTGAGTTTTTAGTGATGCTTTTCAGAGTAGCAGTTGTCAGGTTTTTTCATTTTGTGAATCTAGAAAATCTTACCGGGAGTCTTCTCAGTGGTCTTTTAGGTATTCTTCCCTACAGCATTTGATTCTAAAGGCAGAGGAACCTGTAGAAGTGATGAAATGCCCCCCACCTGCCCTTGTTTCCTCTCTTGGTGCCTCTGGACCTTTGTGGAACTAGAGTTTCTACATTCCTAGCTAGGTTATATCTGTCGACTCCCTGGCACTTTTAAGTGACCTTTTTTGCCTTGTTAGACAAGTGAAGTCAGCAAGTCGGTCTGCCCTCCCATGCAGCCTTTCCTGGGATGTGGATCCTTTCTGAAAGGCCTGTCCCAAGAGAGCATCTTCACTCCACCTGCTCCCTTTCTCGGGGCTTTGACCTCGGCCTCCCAGGTCTCGGGTTTGAGGGCTCACCCACAATTCACTTGTGCGTGATGTGTTCTTGAGCTTTCCATTCGGTAGCTGCAGTTCCCCTCCATGAAGGAAATCATATTAAAAACTTCTCGCATGTGAGTAGTTGTCTGCAAAAGCCATGTTTCTACATGAATTTGGGTAAAAAGACGTTGAGTTTTCTCCTTTGAAGTTATGGAACTTCCTATACTTCCTGTGTTTGTCTGTGCTGTTTTTTTTCCTGGAAGCTTTGGAAAAGACCAAAGGGAAGTGAGTGGGACTTGTCTTAGTTCGCTCCTTTCTCAGGCTAGTTGGAAGCTAGTTCTCATCTACAGCTGTTTTATCAGCTTCACTTAAACACAGTGGTGTCCTTTGTGGCAATGTGCCAAGTTTATTCAGTCCTCCCAAGAAATACATACTTAGAGTTCTGATTAAAGAGGGCTTGGGATGCTATTTAGTTCAGTTGTGGGGAAGGCGTGGCTGAGTTTTATCATGGGTCTGTGGACTCCTTGAAGATGGTTAATAATAGTAATCAAAGTATCGTAGCTTCCATTTATTGAGAGCCTGCCAGCATGCCAAATGTTTTACCTTTATTAACTCATCAACTCCACAAAACAAGGATTTTTTTGTGGGGGAGGCCCCAAAAAGTAGCTGTTCAACATAAGTTTGTTAATTTTATGTATTTTACTTACGAGGAAGCTGAGATCCAGATTTTGCACAAGTACGCAGTTGTCTGACTGCAAAACTCGTTCTTCTTCAGTATATTAAGCTGCTCGATAAGAGTTGGCCAGCTGCATGGTAATGAAGCCACTGCGGCAGTCAGTTCCTGTTCTATCAGTTATCAACACCGTTCCCAAGATCCATGTGTTTTGTTTCTGTAAATCTCAAATCGTTAAAGACAGAGTACTAATCACTTGTTTTCATTTGACAGGATCCTATGAAATAGATGAGATACCATGTTTTATACATTCCATACCCTTTCCTTGGGGTTTCAAGCAAGTAGCGCGTTCAGTGCATTTAGAGCGAGGCCCTGTAGTGCGTGTCACTGCGGTCTTCAGAAGGTGCCCACCTCCCGGAAACCAGCAGTCTCTAAGTTGCTTGATAGGAATAGTAGACGTCTTAAATCTTTGAGCACTGAAGCCTAATTTTCCGCCCTGAAGGGAGGAAGCAGGCACTGGCCTTTGTGTTTATTATTAAAGTAATACATCCTGGAAAAGAATTCAGACTGTAGAATTTTATCCTGGGAAAGATATGAATCTGGCTCTCCCAGGCCAGCTGCCCACTTGTAAGCGTTTTAACCTTTGCTATTTACCTTTCCTGCCTTTTATTTGTTTTTTTAATTCCAAAAAAAACTCTGCATCAGAGAAGTGTGGTGGTTAAAGGAAGTTAAGAAATCCTCAAACCCCAGCCTTTTCCTTTTGCAGAAAATGAGCGGTCCTAAGAAGGAAGTGGCAACCCACTCCAGTACTCTTGCCTGGAAAATCCCATGGACAGAGGAGCCTGAGAGGCTGCAGTCCATGGGGTCGCAAAGAGTCGGACACGACTGAGCGACTTCACTCACTTAAGAGATTTAAGTGACAGCAGAATCAGAGCTGAGCTCTGGGCCCCGGTGCCTCCCGTGGTGCCTGGGCTCGAGCTGAGAACCTCGCCCCTGCTTATAGTCAGCAGCACTGTTTGGTCTCGGGCCAGTAGAACCTGGAGGACTGGAGCTCAGGTTGACGTTGGAACTTATTTTCAAGTCATCTCTTCAAGTAGATGATTTTATTTCTTTTTATTGTTTATCCCCTGTAATCTTAGATGGGCCTCTTTCCAAACTGAAGTGGTGGTATCAATACCTCATTTCTGAGTCATTAGCTCCTACAGGTCTTTTTTTTTTTTTTGACTTTGATGATAAGAGAGACTGCTGGCAGAAGTTAACTATTGAAACCCCCAACAAGCCAATCAGACACCATTAGTTGTTGTCCGTGTGAGGGCTGGGGTTTCCACGTGGCCAGGAAACGCAGCCGAAAGGGCCACAGGTTCCTCTGTGAAACTCCCAGCTGTCTCTGCCCTTCCCACCCTCTCTCAGCCCAGGCACCTTCTTCAGTGACACTAGAATTTGTGGAAATAAAAAGTGACTCTTCGTTTCAACAACATTGGACACTTTTGCTCTAAGATGATGCAAATAACATTACATGATCCTGCAGCACTCAAAGTATCCTGGATCTCTGAGCTCTCGGAAATGTGAAGAAAGCAGTTATCTTAAGGGCATCATTGGTAGAAATCATTTTTTTCAGTAGAGTGTGTGCATATATATACACTTTTTTATTGAACTGTTGTTGATTGGCAGTGTTAACGATAGTTTCATGTGTAGAGCAGAGCGATTCAGTTATAAGGAAGGGGCAATGAGTTGGGAGATTGGGCCTGACATGCACACACTGCCGTGTGTATTAACAGCTAGTGGCAAACCTGCTGTATACCACAGCTGATCCCGGGGCTTTGTGATGACCTAGAGGAGGGGGCTGGGGGTGGTGGGAGGGAGGCTCAAGAGGGGAGGAGGGAGGGGATATAGGTATACTTGTAGCTGAGTCACATCGTTGTACAGCAAACTTACACAACACTATAAAGCATCTTACTCCAATAAAAAAGGAATATATATAGTGTGTGTGTATATATATATAGTTTATACAGTAGAATTTAGTCACATTATCTCTGATTACACCTGGAAGAACACGGAAACAAATGCAACCCATTTTTTTTTTTTTTAAGTACAAAGTAATAAACTCCCTAAACGTCCAGCGTATGAGGGAATCCTCACAACCTGATTCAGTAATTAGAGCCTGGGAATCTTGACATGGGATAACATTTGCTTATCTCTGAGCAGATGTGAGGCAGCCTCACTGCCCTTTGGACTTCTGACATGACCCAGCATCTCCTAATTTAAACAGAAGAGACCTGACCATAATAAAAATCTAAAACTGTCCGCATGGTCCACCCCGAGATTGGTGGAAGCTCTTTTCTTCGGTTTCACTTAGCTGTTCATCTGAGTGTTCTTTTGAATAAAATCCTGAGGTGAAAGCTCGTTCTCTGAGTTCCTGGTGTGTGCTTTCATTAAGGATACTCAAAACCTGTCATTAGAAAGTTCCTGATGCATCACACCATTACTATGTATAAAACCGATGAAAGCTGTCTTTGATCTGTTTTGTTTGCTTAAGTGTCTTCCATGAGAGGTCATTCATTTTCTTACTAGTTTTTCAGGTCCTTTTCTAAAGCATTAAGACTTTCACACTCAAAGTTTCCTTTTAACAGAAACTCACCTGATTAATGATGCCATTGAATAAAGCTATTTTCAGGGCAGTACATTATACAAATAGAGGATTTTATTTATAAATAGTTATATATGTGTCGAATATTTATTGCCTTTATTTCCCTTTAGGTGTCTTATAAGATTTTAAGTAACTTTAGTGTTTGTCATATGAAAGAAATAAGAATTACCTGTGATATTTGGACTCTGATGTGGTCTGGCTAACTTCCCTCATACTTACAGAAATCGGGTATTATTTTCCTCCAGTTGAGTGATAACTTTCTCAAGTGGGAAGGATCCTTTCATATGTTCCCTTTTCTCTTCATAAGGAAATTCAACCTCAGAGTCATTCTGTGTTCCAAGCAGTTCACAGAATTCTGAACCATAAGCTGAGCTTAGTCCCAGGTGAGGCTAGTAGTTTTCCAAGCACCAGAATTTTCATGAATTCAGGTAGTCTCAGGATAGCTGTAAAAGGCCATATGTTCTACAGTCTTTTGACTTTTCAGATTGCTAACACCGTAAGTAAGGTAAGCCGCTCCTGTTGTATTAGGTCCTGCTGTGTGCAGGACTCCGCGCCAGGTAAGGCAGGAATGTTTGCAGAAGCAGACTCTTTGCTTCCCTGTGCATGCGTGGTGCATTCCATCACCTTCAGTGAGGGACAGGACGGGGTGTGATCTACCTGGGGAACGCTTGTGGTGTTCAGGAGTAAGGAAAGAGGCCCTGGGCATGAGGAATGTCTTTTACTCCTTAACACTTTATTTTTTCCTTTGTTTTTGTCTGTGCTGGGCCTTCGTGGCTGCGTGCGGGCTTTCTCGAGTTGCAGCAAGTGGAGGCTACTCTCATTGAGGTGCACAGGCTTCTCACTGCGGCGGCTTCTCGTTGCAGAGCACGGGCCCTGGGCTCTCGGGCTCTGTAGTTGTGGCTCACGGACTTAGTTGCCCTGCGGCATGTGGGATCTTCCCAGGTCAATGATCGGACCCCTGTCCCCTGCATTGGCAGGCGGATTTTTAACCAGTAGACCAGCAGGGAAGTCCTCTTCTTTAATAATTAAAAAAAAAAAAAAAAACTCATTGCTGGAGTTATCCTTTAATGGGCACTAAAAAAGCACCTGTATCAGAGGTCAGCTACATTTAAGTTGTTTTTATGGATAGACGGCATTTTCACTGTACTGTTTGTAATGTTCGTCTTGTTTCTTTTCCTTTTAGACCTGGAATGGCCAAATATCAAGGTGAAGTTCAGAGTTTGAAACTGGATGATGATTCAGTCATAGAAGGAGTAAGTGACCAGGTGCTTGTGGCGGTTGTGGTCAGTTTCGCTTTGATTGCTACCCTGGTATATGCACTTTTCAGGTGAGACCACAGGACAAAAGAATAATGCATATTTCCAAGGGCAACTGACTTTCTGACTATGTCTCGTAATGTTTAATACTTAATGTGGAAAGGAAGTACTAGACTTCAGTGACTGTGATAATGTACTAAGGTATTATATTTTCCTGTCTTCAACTGTCTAGTCAGAAAAAGTTTAAATTTGTCATCCATATTTTGAATGAAATGTTAATATTTTCCGTTGGACTATCACAGTTTTAACATGTAATTTTCATAATTCATCAAATTGCAGCTGATACAATAGGTGCAAATATATTTTCATGTTTAAATGGAAAAACCTGGGGCCAGAAAACCCTTGGACAGTGTAGAGGGACTTAAGATTAGAATTAAAGTTACTGTTACGGAATCAGGAATAATACTTAAAGATCTCAGATGTGTATATGCCAGTACAAGAGACAAGGTAATAAACTAGAAATGTAAATACTGACGAATAGAGGTTAATTTTGTATATATCACTGAAAACAGAAATGAGCAAAAAAGTATAAAATAGAGAAGAGATTAGTTCCACAAACTACAGATCTTTTCGTTTCTTATAACAATTAAGAAAGGATTATTGAACAGGGTGTGAGCATTCTCTCTTACCTCTGTATGGTTAGTTTCTGAATTAGGGTGATGCTGTTGATTTCAGTAGAACACTTGGTGGTGCACTTGGGGACATAGTGGGGAAATGGTGACCAGATGATGGCAGATGTGCCTGAGTTTGTAACTGGTGGACAGGTCATTCCCAGGAGTACTGACTGAAGTTTTGATGTAAACCAAAAGAGGACACTGAATTTTGGTAGGGCTCTGACCTTTGAGCTTGTTCTACTCATCTCTGTGAAGAAGAAAACAGAAGCACGTTTACTAGATTGTTCATTGAGAAGGATAGCTGATGTATTGATAACAACAGAATCAGGGTTCAAAAATGGGTCATCCTATGTCCTTGTGGCAGGCTGGTTCATGACCGTGGTACCAACACCTTTCAGTAGAGAAAGAGCTCAACAAATGATGTTGGGACAACTGGTTACCCACATGCAAGAGAATGAAGTTGTACCCATACTCCATCATATACAAAAATTAACTCAGAATGGATCAAAGTATGAAATGTAAGAGCTAAAACTATAAAACTCTGGGAGTAAATTGTGGAGATTCTTAGATATGATGCCACAAGCATGATCAAAAGAAAATAGATACATTGGAATTCATCAAAAGTAACAACTTTTTTTTTTTTTTTGCTTCAAAGTCCGTCATCAAGACAATGAAAAAAGAAAAAAAAAGAAAAAAGACGACGAAAAGTCAGTTCACTGACTGGGAGAAAATATTTCAGATCACATGTCTGACCTGAAATATTTCAGACTTAGGCCCTTATGTCTGAATATGTAGAGAACTCAAAGCTCCATAACAAAAAGACAAATAACCCGGTTAATAGATGGGCAAAGGATCAGAATAGGCATTCCTCCAAAGATGCACCAACGGCCAACAAGTGTATGAATGCATTTCTGACATCCTTAGTCATTCAGGGAAATGCAAATCAAACCACAGTGCGGTACAGCTTCACACCCACTTCACTAGGATGGCTGGGTTCAAAAAGTCAAGTAATAATGATCGTTGGCGGTGTGGGAAAATTGGAACCCTCATACACTGGTAGTGCAGGCCCTTTGGAAAGCCATCAGTTCCTCAAATGACTAAACATAGTGTTACCATGTGTCCTAGCGATTTCACTCCCAGGTACATGTACAGTGAGAAATGAAAGGATATCTCCATGTAAAAAATTGTACAGGAATGTTTGCAGCAGGATTGTTCCTAATATCCAAAAGGTGGAAACAGATGACTGGATCCATCAACAGGAAGATGGATAGACAAAATGTGGTAGGTCCATGCAAAGGAATATCATTCAGCTATAAAAAGAAGTGACACGCTGATGTATGCATGCTGCCTTTTGGAGGAAACTTGAAAGCATTGTGTTAAGTGACGTAAACCAGACACAAAAGACCATGCGTTTGAGTCTGTTTGTACGTCCACAGAAGGAAAATCTGTAGAGACAGAAAGTAGATTCATGGTAGAATGTAGATTCATGGTAGAAAGTAGATTCCAGAGGGACTAGAGTGGAAGGTGGGGTTATAAGGAGTGATAGCTGAACATTTCTTTTTGAAGTGATGAAAATGTTCTAAAATTGACTGTGTTGATTAATTATATCTCAGTAAAGCTGCTTTTAAAATGAGTCGTGACTAGGTAAATACCAAAAAAAAAAAAGTGTTCCTTACCCATTAAGAATGGGATATAGATACGAATTTATTATCATTTGAAAGTATCCATGATAAATTGTTGAGTGAGAATTAAGTGAAAAACACATCACAGAACCATAGGTCAAGTAGCCTATTTTGTTTTTAAGATGGATTTTTATAAATTAATTTTATTGAAAAATAGTTTTCCTTTATTTTTCTAATTTCTCTATTAGGGATAATTATTACTTGTAAATAAAAGTTTTTTCCTCATAGACTGCAGCGATGTGAAACCCAAAATAAAAAGTTTCTATTAATAAAGCAATTGTGTATTGTAGATGCCAAAAACTTAACCAGCATTAGAGTGTGTTAATCAGAATAGTCAGATAAAGTTCACATATAGATTATATTCAGCTTGGGTCAAGCATTTTAAACTGGAAAAGATTCAGGGGAGATTATCAAAACAGGTAAAGCTATGGAATCAAACCATATCCAAATGCTTGAAAGAACTGGGGATATCTCGCTTAGGGGAAAGACTGTAGGAAGCACAAGCTTTAAATACGACGAGGGTGTGTTTTGTTGAAGAAGAGAAAGGTTTGTTCTGTGTAGCTTCACGGGCTGAACTAGGGTGTCCAAGAAAGACCTATAGACATTTGCTTTTTCTGCAGTGAAGGGACCCGTTCGTACTGTTTCTGTCTCGTGTGTCTCCTTTATTCTTATACGGAGCTCTTTACTTCTGGTCACCTAATGTGTGTGGCTTTTCCCCTGCCAAGCAGTTCTTTTTGACACCATCTGGGTGTCCCACAATTTAACTCAGTTCTGACCCTGTCTGCCTGGAGACACTGTCAGATCGTCTCACAGGTTCAGGGCTCAGTCCCACCACACTTCTGATGCCACAGCCAGTAATAGGTCCCCAGGTTACCCACAGCCTCAGTCTGATTTCTGTCCCCAGGTTTTCACCAGAAGTCAGAGGCTCTCGTGACCCCCACCTCAGGTTCGATTAACTTTCCAGAGCAGCTCACAGAACTCGGGGAAGCAGTGGGCTTACCAGTTTATTAAGGGGTGTGATGAAGGATACAGATACAGACACAGGTGACGAGGAGGACACGGTGAGGCCCGGGGGCGGGGGGTGGTCCTGAGTGCAGGAGCCTCTGTCCCTGTGGGGTTGGGGTGTGGGGTCCTCCCCCTTCTGGGGTGGATGTGCTCACCTGCCTGAAGCTCTCCAGGGATTTTTATGGAGGCGTCTTCATGCAGACGTGATCAGTTATTAACTCTGTTCCTGGGCACGCTCCTCTTTCTGGAGAGCGGGGCCAGGCGTCAGGGGGTGGGGGACGCTAAAAATTCCAGCCTTCTGATCCTGTCCTTGTTCCGGTGACCAGCCCTCATCCGGGTGTCCTCCCAGAGTCGCCTCCTCAGAACAAAAGACACTCCTGTCACCCAGGAATTTACAAGGGTTTCAGGAGCTCTGTGTGAGGGACCAGGTCAGAGACCGAATATTATAGAATAAAAAGTGCTCCTAATGCGCTTATCACTTAGGAATTTACAAGTGTTTCTGGAGGTCTGTGCCAGGGACCAGGGGCAGAGACCAGTGTGTGTATTTCCTGTTATATAGGCCCAGCAGGTGGAGATGAATGACAAGGTTTTAGCTTAACTTAAGATACGACTTTTCAGATAACATAAGGTGCTCCCCCAGTGCCCAGGTGCCGTATTGAATCTGTCGCACGATTGGACTCGGGTAGGGAGGTCAGTTTAAGTTGCTGTCTGGCTGTTCAGATTCAAATTCAGTTTGCAGCTGTAATCCTGCCCCTTCAACTGGAGTCATCAATAAGTTGGAGGATAGGTAGCATGCATTGTATAAGAGTCAAACAAAGGAGGCTTTTGTCTGTTTTCTGTAATTTCTGTGATGTTTTTAGTCATTATGATTCATTCTTTCTTCACATTGTGGTGAAATACCCGTAACATAAAAGCTGTCATTTTAGTACTCGTTGGCATTAAGAACATTCACAGTGTTCTGTAATAGACCCTCACCACTGTCTATTTCAAGAACTTTTTCACTATTTGAAACAGAAACTACCAGTTAAATAATAGCTCCCTATTCCTCCTCTCCCAATCCCTGGTAACCTTTATTCCACCTTCTGTCTCAAGAAATTAGGCTAGTTTATATACCTCATAAACAGGAATTAGACAGTATTTTGTCCTTTTGTGTCTGGCTTATTTCTCTTAGTGTAATGCATTCAAGGTTCATATATGTTGTATCACCCACCAGAATTTTGTTCCTTTTTTATGGCCGAATAGTATTCCATCGCATGTATATACTGTATTTATTCATCTGTTGATTGACATTTGGGTTGTCCCCACCTTCTGGCTATTGTGAATGATGCTCTGTGAACACGGGGCTACAAGTTGAGTGTTTGAGTCCCTGCTTTCAACTGGAATTGCTGGCTCATGCAGTAATGCTGTGTTTAACTTTTTGAGGAACATTTAATCTGTTTTTCACAGCAACTGCCCCGTCTTACATTCCCACCAGCAACACACGACTGCTCCAGTATCCCTGCATCCTGGCCAACAGTTGATACTTTCTGTTTTTTTTTTTTTTTATGATCATCCTCGTGGATGTGAATTGGTATCTCATTGGGGTTTTGGTTTGCATTTCACTAATGACTAACGATGTTGGACATAATTTCATGCTTATTGGCGATTTGTGTTGCTTCTTTAGAGAAATGTTTATTTCATCCTTCATGCATGTTTGAATTAGGTTTGCTTTTTAGTGTTTGAGTTATGAGTTCTTTCTATATTCTGTCTCAATCACTTATCAAATATATGGCTTATTAATACTTTCTTTCATTCTGTTGGTTGTCCTTTGCGCCTCTCTTTAAAATTCTTCTTTGTCTTAATTTACCGCATTTGTTTGTTTGGCTGTGCTGGGTCTTTGCTGCTGGGCGCGTGGGCTTTCTCTCGTTGTGGACAGTGAGGGCTCCTTTCTAGTTTGGGAGCGCGGGCTCTGGGGCGTGAGGGCTTCAGTAGTTGCCGCTCCCCAGCTCTAGAGTGTGGGCCGAGTAGTTGTGGGGCAGGGACTTAGTTGCTCCGAGGCGTGTGGGATCTTCGCAGATCAGGGATTGAAGCCGTGTCTCCTGCATTGGCCGGAGGATTCTTTACCACCGAGCCACCAGGGACACCCTGCTTTTATCCTCTTGATAGTGTTCTTTGATAAACAAAATTTTAAAAATTTTCATGAAATCCAATTTATCTTTTTTTTTTTCTTCTGTTGCCCATGTTTTGGTGTCATGGTTAAGAAATCATTGTTAAATTGAAGGTCACAAAGATTTCCATGTCTGTCCGTAAGTTTAGGTGCTAGATCCATTTTGAGTTAATTTTTGTATATGATGAGGGGAGGGTCCAAATTCATTCTTTTGCATGTGGATATCCAGTTTTTCCAACATCTTTTGTTGAAAAGACTGTCTTTACTCCACTAAAGGGTCTTGACATCCTTGTCAGAAAAAAGACTTTCCTTACTCCACTAAGGAGTCTTGGCATCCTTGTCAAAAACCAATTAACCATACATATAAGAGTTTATCTCTGGTCTCTCTGGTCTACTCCCTTGGTTTATATATTTGTCCTTGTTACAAGTACAGCAGTGTTTTTACTATAACTTTGTAGCAAGTTTTGAAATCAGAAAGTGTCTTGCAACTTCTTTCCTCTCTTTCAAGATTATTTTGGCTCTTTGGAGTCCCTGGAGATACCATGTAAATTTTAGGATGTGTTTGTTTATTTCTGCTAAGAGTGCTGTTGGGATTTTGATAAGAGGTGGCACTGAATCTGGAGCTCAATCACTTCAGATAGTATTGACATCTTAACAGTGTTGTCTTCCCATCTGTGAACATGGGATGTCTTCTTTAATATTTTTCAGCAGTGCTTTGTAGTTTAATTTCTTTTAAAATATTTTCTATTTCTTCTTCCTTCTTAAGCCATTAATAATAGCTGCCATGTGTTGACGGACCAGAAGCCAGCGACAAGGGTCTGGTAGTCAGGTTAAGCTATGCTTGCATACCAGTAAACTTTGGTTCCAATTTCATTTCTTGACCCAGGCTTGGGGTATCATTGCTTTCCTCACCCTAGAGGTTCCTGGCTCCTTTCCAGGGCTACATGTAACTTAACTGGTTTGACAGTTTTGGTTTCTCCTTTCAAAGAACCTAGAAGGACCATAAATCGTTGATAGATGAAACAACAAGTGTTCTGTTTCATAGTAGAGCCACTCACTTTGGCATCTCACTTTAGACCCTCTTCGTGTCAAATGCAATCACTTTCTCATCACTAAGGTGATCATAGTATTAAAGAGCAAAAATTCGGCCAGTTCATTTGAAGATCTGATTGGCTTTACCAAGCTATTCATGCATCAGGCGGCTTCCTGTCCAGCAAGCAGAGAGGTGCCCGGAGGAGCTGTGTGAAATGGAAAGGTTTCATAGGCAGGAGGAGGGTGGGGCAAGGAAGTTATTCGCAAAAGTAGGGATTATTTCAGGCCAGGCCTACTTCTTCTGCGGGAAGGAAATGCCAAGGGTCTTAGCATTGCAGACCACCTCCTTGGTGCTGACCCAGAAACCCCAGATTGGCTGACTCATCACCTGGGGAAGGTGGGCCAGGCGTGACGTCTAGGTTTGGTGTCATGGGCTGCAGCACAAGTGACAAATGATAAAGCTGCAGTTTGCTCTATTATGTTTCTCTGTATGTTCCAGATTTTCTAATCTAGCTCTCAGTCTATCTGGATTATCCCATTTTCTGGATTTTTGGTTCTGTACCCAGAGTTGCCAGTCACATTTAGTTACCTGAACTCACACCACGATCAGAATCTTGGGCTGTTTTTTCTTGTTCTTTGGCTGCACCTTGACTTCTAATATTCTGTCAGATATAATAATTTTATATCTTCTCTTTTATGGAAAGAACACACACACACACACACTCTCTCTCTCTGAAACTCATGACTTTTTTTCAGTGAAAGGGAATGAATGGTTCTGCAGTGTTAAAAGAGCCAAGAATTCCCAGTTAGCTGTGTGTTTGAAAAAGTGAAAATGTTACTCGCTCAGTCGTGCCCGACTCTTTGCAACCCCACGGACTGTAGCCCACCAGGCTCCTCTGTCCATGGGGTTCTCCAGGCAAGAATTCTGAAGTGGACAGCCATTTCCTTCTCCAGGGGGTCTTCCCAACCTAGGGATCCAACCTGGGTTTCTTGCATTGCAGGCAGATTCTTTATCATCTGGGCCACCAGGGAAGCCCATACTAGTGTGTAAATGAGACAGTTCCTAGCCTGTTCCTGGACAGATTGTTTTTCCCACAGAGTGGCTTTCTCACAGTGATTCATTCATTCAATCATAAGAACATAACATTTAAAAATAAATAATCCACCAAAATATAAGATGTTGAAACAGAGTTCAAGCAGTTTCATTACATTGATGTCAAGCTTCTGATTAGATATTTGACTTTAAATTGCTTTTTTGACATCTCTAAAATAATGGTTATATTTTTTCAGCTTTCTTTTTTAAAATTTGAATGTTTTACTAAAAATCAAATAGCCATAGGATGTATATCTGTAATTTTTCTTATCCCATTGAAATGCTGATATGGAATTCTAGTTGCTGGGGAATATTGATTCAGCCAAAGAGTAAAGGTCCTCCTATAGATTAACACCGATGCTGAGTGGACTTGAAATATTGCCGTTAAAAGAGATTTAGGTTTAGAAAAAACTGCTCCAGCCAAATGAAATTAAATGGATTCAGATGTAAATCTGCACTTCCCACCCTGCAGCCTTAAGGAGCACTGCTGATGTTCAGTCCTCCGGTCTCTTGTCCTTTTGTATCAGCCACTAACATCTTACCTTTGACCCTTTGTTTTTTTAATCGGAGTATAATTTTTACAGTGTGTTAGTTTCCGCTGTACAGTGTTATGAATCAGCCGTGTGTACACATACATCCCCTCCTGCTTGGGCCTCCCTCCCGCCCGGGCCTCCCTCCCGCCCCATCATCCCACCCAGCTGGGTCAGCACAGAGCACAGAGCTGACCTCCCTGCTCATCAGGTCCCCTCTGGCCGTCTGTTTACACGTGGTGGTGTGTATATGTCTGTGCTACTCTCTCAGTCCATCCCACCCTCTCCTTCCCCCGCTGTGTCCACAAGTCCGCTCTCTGCGTCTGTGTCTCTATCCCTACCTTGGAAATTGGTTCATTTGTGCCATTGTTCTAGATGCCACATATAGGCGTTAATAGGCAGTGTTTGTTTTTCTCTTTCTGCCTTCACTCAGTATGGCGGACTTTAGGCCCACCCACATCTTGTTAATGTTACGACACCGGTGGTATGGCAGGTTTGGGCTTTGCTGCGTCATATGTTTTGGTTTTTGGATTTTTCTCTGTCCCTTTGTTATAGGTGAAAAGTCGGCAGAAAGACCTGATTAGATATGGAAAAGATGTGTCTTGCATAATAACACGAGACATTTTACAGAAGAAATAAATGTGTTAATTGTTCTTTATATGAGAACAATTACGTTCAGTCCCCAAGGCACTAGGCCTGTGGGTTTCATCATTTGCTAGTTAAACCTGATCAGTGCTCTCAGAATGGCCTGGAACGTTGAGTCCTGCAGCTGGAGTACAGGTGTTGGCCGTCATCTCTGCTTCTCACATTACCAGAAGTCTAGGTCAAAAGTTAGATCCAGAAGGAAAACTGATTCATCAGACAGTGTTTTATATTAAAACTTTGCTATGTGTTTCTTCAACAGAAATGCACATCAAAATATTCACCCAGAAAACCAAGAGCTAGTGAGGGTGCTTCGGGAACAGCTTCAAACAGAACAGGTACTGTCGTGACCCAGATCTGTGCGTTTGTGTGAGGAGGGCATAGTCTTACTCCCTTTGCATAAGAAATCATGATGAAATATCAGTAAATTCCTTTCACAGAAGCGTGGGCTTCTCTCCTGCTTGGAGTTGCCTTTCATTATCCTATTGATTTTGATCCTGTTGATTCATTATCCTATTGATTGTACATTTTCAGATTAGGCAAATGATTAGCCTTAATCTAATTTAAGATATTTTCATGTGCTAATTTTAACTTGCTTTAAAAGACAGCAGTTTTCTATTTAACTGATAAGGAAAAAATCACTGTCTCGTTGACTTTAATGAAATGTGGTAGAAAAACTACTCTTTCTAAAATATATTCCCCTAAATCCTTCAGATAAATGACTATAACGGGTGGGTTTTTTCCTTTTTTTTTTTTTTCTTCTTTGGTCAAAATTAACAAAACTAGCTAGGCAGAGAGGAGAACTCTCCTCTGCCTCGTCTTTGTTTTTAGCTGTATGGACTCATCAAGAACCAGAAATAAATTTCATAAAGGCTGGGTTAAGTAGGATATTATACACCTTCATGGGGCCTCCCAGGTGGTGTTAGTGGTAAAGAACCCCCCTGCCAGTGCAGGAGATGTTAAGAGACACGGGTTTGATCCCTGGGTCAGGAAGATCCCCTGGAGGAGGGCGTGGCAACCCACTCCAGTATTCTTGCCTGGAGAATCCCATGGACCAAGGAGCCTGGTGGTCTACAGTCCATAGGGTCACAAAGAGTCAGACACGACTGAAGTGACTGAAACACAGCACACCTTCATCTGAGATAGCTAGCATCAAAAAAAAAGAAAATTAAAAATTGATTGCCTACCCATCCAACTTTAATTCCAAAGAGAGTTTTTATGATACATCCATTTACCTCTTATTTATTAACCATCTACCATATGCCAGATATTGTTCCAGGCATTGGAAATTCATTCATGAACTAAATGGACGAGAATTCTTGCTTCATAGAACTTAAATGCATGGACACAGAAATAGTGTAAACATATTCGTAGTATTGTGTTCCAGATCTCTTGTTATCAGTAATTCATGCTGGGATGGTGTTTTCTAATTTACAAAGTGATTTCACATGTAACTATGTCATTGAATCTCCAAGCACATAACATGGTCAGGAATGTATGAATGAAAGAGATGTTAGAAGAAAGTTAACACTTGGAGAGTTGTTTGGCCTCTCGTGTTCTTCAGCGAATGAAGGCTTTAGCTCAGCCTTCAGAGTAATTCAGAATAACTTAACTCTTTCTAATAGAGTCCCTCCAGAGTTGGTCAAGGTTTTCCTCTTTACACTGTGCTCAGTAAGAAAGGTGGAGCCCGTGCAGGGTCAGAACAGCGGCGGAGGCTCATGAGTTTATCAAACCTGTAAGACCTTCACGGAGTGCCCGTCTAAAATGCAAGGATTATGCAGTCCTGACTGTATCCTCAAGTGTACTTGAGCAAGCAGCTGATTTTGCAATGCCCGCGTGTGTCCTGTCTGACCGTGCACACATTTTTCTCCCCAGGATGCGCCTGCTGCCGCCCGACAGCAGTTCTACACTGACATGTACTGTCCGATCTGTTTGCACCAAGCTTCCCTCCCTGTGGAGACCAACTGCGGACATCTCTTTTGCGGTAAGCAAACGGTGCTTTAACTCTGGGTCAGAGGGACTGTTCAGACCGAGACCTGTGTGTGTGTGTGCAGTGAGCGGGAGTCCTCTTATTTCCTTTCAGTCACCGTCTGTATTTTGTGAATAGGACGGATTGCTTCTGGGAGCCTCCTCTTCTTGCCAGCCACTTTTATTGAGTGTCCATGGGCTTAAAAAAAACAATCTAGTTATTCACCTCCCCAATAAACAGCACTGTGTTTCTTTGAATAGTAAGTGTATCAGCACCACGAGGGAGTCACTGAAGCCCTCCTTTTTCATCACTCTTCGGGTGTCTTCGTTTGTTACTTTTTCTTTCCAAAGAGTAAGGAAGGGTCTTCTCTCAGGGACCTTGCCCGAGACCTTCCCTCAGCTCTGCTACCCCTTTTCACTCTGAGTCGACGCGGAGGTTCTTCCCTCTCTTCCTGCATGATCCCCAGAAGCTCGGGAACCCTGGAGCATGTGGAGGAACGAGACGGGACGTTGACATCACCCTGAGTATCGGGATGGGTGCTGTCTACCCCTGCGTGTTCTTCCCGACCTTCCAGAAAGAGTTCATCGAGAGCAGTGGGGTATCCTGTAGCTGTTTGCTGGCTGTGGTCACGTGCGATGGGGGAAGTTCAGTTATTCCATGCCTGCTGTGTGCTGGACACAACACACCCGCATCTCCTCCAAGCCCACAGACAAGGAGACCCAGGTGCTGACGTTTGGCAGAGGGCATCCCAGCTGCAGGCGGACGGGGCTCGCTTTTAAACCCGGGTCTAACGTCAAAGCCAGGGCTGAATTCTGCATGATCAGTGGTTTACACCAAGACTCTCTACTTAAGGTTTCTGTCATCACTAGACCTGATTTTTATTGGGAGCATTTCCATTTGAACCAAGATTGGGTTCTGATTGCTCCCAGGCTATACCAAGTTTCCGTGTCCAGACTGATTAAGAATGTAGCGTACATTGATCTGCGTGTTGCTTTCTGCCCTTTGTATCTTTTGTCTGAGATTCAGAATTCTGAGGTATACCGTGTCCCTGTTAATGCTGTCGGGAATGAAATAGAATTTGGAGCCTGTCCAGGTGACGCAGGGTTTTCTATATCCCGTGCTCCTTCCGTCAGTGCTTGCCAGTCCCATTATATCCTCATCTGTTAATTTCAGCCTCTTCCCGCAGGTTTTAGCCTAAGGAGCTACCGAATTGTAAAGCACCATTTCAGGGTTTATCCTTAGTTATCTGTTAAAGTGCTGGTGAGCTGCAAAGTAACGCACGATCAGAGGGGTGGGCGGAATTAAACGGCCATCAGAGAAGACAGCTGCTCCCCACTCGGAGCTCTGGTCACTGCTTCTTGTCAGCTGGAGCCCCTTGCCAAGTCCGGCCGTGGCCCCGGCCGTCCTCTCTCCCGAGGCCCCAGGCCGGCGCTGGGGATCAGGGAGGTCCGGCTGGCTGGACGGAGTGTTTGCCAGGCCGGGCCCTGAGCAGATAACCCAGGCAGCGGAAAGATCGCTGTGCTGTGCGCTTGCTTTTTTTACCTCTGGGTCTGAGGTAAAAGGTTAGATTCCTCCTGTTAACCCTGCTCTACTTGTCGGACACATTTGTTTACTGTCTGTGGGTCCAAAGGTTAAAAAAAAAAGAAAAAAACACCACCTAGTTATTCAACTTCACAGTAAACAGGAGTGTGTTTCTTGGAACAGCAGTTCAAGGATACAGATAACGAGGTGTGTGCGGGGTACCCCAGCTCTGCGCCCTGACAGAGCCAAGGGTGCCAGCAGCCCCCAACGCCCCCTTCCTTGCATTTGTAACCCACCTTACTGTATCTAGTTCTCCAGTGGTCTTGTGCGGTCTCATTCCCATTTTACAAAATAAATAGATCCAGAGAGATGGTGGCCTGACTTCAAGTCATTCAGTCATCTCTCCCGTCGTCCAGTTGAGGTGGATCGCCCTTTTATTTATTTACTTTTAACTTTTTTTTTAAAATGTGGACCGTTTTTGAAGCCTTGATTGAGCATGTTACAGTATTGCCCCTGTTGTGTACTTCCTGGTTTTTTTTTTTGGCCAGGAGGCATGTGGCCGGTCCTCCCCACCCAGGGTTTGAACCCACGCCCTCTGCTTTGGAAGGTGAAATCTTACCCTCTGGACCACAGGGACATCCCGGATCTCCCGTTTAAAGAGGTGGAAAGGTTGAGGAAGCGAGAAAAAGCATCAAGCACATCCCAGCAGATGTGTGAACCAAGTGTCTGATTAGTTGGCCCATAGTTTTCCAGTGTAGGTGAGCAGCCGTTAATGTAACGTGCAAACAAGGACACCGGCATTCCAATTTGTGGAAATAAGATTAAATCAATCATCACGTGTCAAAGCACATTGGACTTTTTGGGTGAAAAGGTAGTAGATAGATCTGAGGCATCATTACATATGGTAATAATTAATACTCACAGATTTATGATCCTTTGCTTTCAAGTAGTTTCCATATGGCATTAGATTGCTCAAAGTATTTAGTAAATATTATCTAACATAGCACTCTAAGAGCAGAAGAAGATCCCAGATACAGGTGGCTTGGCATTTAAATTCATCTTTAAATTGTTGAACCAGTTTCCCCCCCAGTCACTAACATCCAGGTGGGCCAGCCGTGGCTTCAGCCGTTGGCTGGCTCACCAGGCCCCTTAGATACCAGTGTTTCGGCCTCTGGCACGTACTCTTTGTTGTTGTTGTTGTTGTTGTAAAACCTGGAGTGTCCTCCCCTCCTGTGTTCTGCCGAACTACATCTTACCGACCCCACAAAGTTGGGTTCAAATTCTGTACTCCTGTTGTCCCCAAAGTTAAGATGACGGTTCAGGATTTACCTGCCTTCTGATTGATGTGAGTACATCGCCTTGGCATCCTCAGTCCGATTGTCAGTGCTTGCTCTGAATTGTGGACGTGTGTTTGACCTGGAAGAATCAGAACGAGGAACACAGAGGGCTAAGCTGGGTGGCTGAGGCGAGAGGAAGAAAACAGGAGCCAGGGAGCACTTAGTTCAGAGGCACCGTGGAACCCGGACAAGCCGAGAAACGAGGGCCTGCAGAACGTGAACTGGCTCGGTTAGTATCAGCCAGTGTTAAAAAAATGTTTCTTCTTGACTTGTTACTGGTCTGAGCGTCAGTGTATATACATGGAGCTCAAAGACCACCACTTGTTAGAGCCTGTAAATCCTCCTGTTGGGCTGTGCTTAGCTGTTTCACTGCTTATCAACACCTTTAAGCAGAGAAGTCCAATCCATCCAGTGTAAAAACTGACTAAATTATTTAACTGGATTATGAACTTTATTTGGGCAGGAAGAAAGTAATCTTTGTATCCTTTGGTTCCTTACTCATATTACCTAGTTACTGTTACTTAAATAACTTGGTTTTCTAAACTTTTAAAAATATGGAACTTGTGTTTTTATAATGTATGCATCAAATTTGGAACGGAAAATTGACATCGATTTGTCGGTTATCATGTTTACAATCATGTTCAATTATTTTACTTATTTTACATAAGAAATGCAGTAATTTCTGTTGCACCTCATAGCACTGAAGCAGTTTAATGCATGCTTGCTTTTTTTTTTGATTGGAAGATAATTGCTTTATGTTATATTGGTTTCTGCTATATAAACGTGAGTCAGCCATATATGTACGTATATCTCCTCCCTCCTGAGCCTGCCTGCCTTCCCCTCATCACACCCTGCTAGGTCTTCACAGAGCACCAAGCTGGGTTCCCTGTGATGTACGGCAGTTTTCTGCTCGCTGTCTAGTTTACACATGGTAGTGTATATATGTCAGTGCTGCCCTCTCAATTCAGCCCACCCCCTCCTCCCCACGCTGTGTCCACCGGTCTCTTCTCTGCGTCTGCATCTCTATTCCTGCCCTGCAAACAGGTTCATCAATACCATTTTTCTAGATTCCATATATGTGCATTAACATGCAATCTTTGTCTTTATTTTTTTACTTACCTCACTATGTGTAACAGGCTCTGGGTTCATCCACCTCACTAGAACTGACTCAAATGCTTTCCTTTTTATAGCTGAGTAATATTCCATTGTGTATATATATATATATATGTACCACAGCTTCTTTATCTGTTCGTCTGTTGATGGACATCTGAGTTGCTCCCATGTCCGAGCTGTTGTAAATAGTGCTGCAGTGAATGTGGGGGTACAATTGTCATTTTCAGTTATGATTTCCCTGGGGTATATGCTCAGTGGTGGGATTGCTGGGTCATATGGTGGTTTTATTCCTAGTTTTATTTTGTTGTTGTTGTTTTAAGCAATCTTCATACTGTTCTCCATAGAAGCTGTATCAATTTATATTCCCACCAACAGTGCAGGAGGATTCCCTTTCCCCCACATCCTTGCCTGCATTTACTGTTTGTAGTATTTTTGATGATGACCATTCTGACTGGTATGAGGTGATACCTCACTGTAGTTTTGATTTGCATTTCCCTTAATAATGAGTGATGTTGAGCATCTTTTCATGTGTTTGTTGGCCATCTGTATATAAATCTTTGGAGAAATGTCTGTTTAGATCTTCTGCCCGTTTTTTTATTTGGGTTGTTCATTTTTCTGATACTGAGCTACATGAGCTGCTTGTATGTTTTGTAGAGTAATCATCAGTTGCTTGGTTTGCAATTATTTTCTCCCATTCTGAAGGTTTTTTTTCCTCTTGCTGTGCAAAAGCTTTTATGTTTAATTAGGTCCCATTGGTTTATTTTTCTTTTTATTTCCATTACTCTAGGAGGTCAGTCAAAGAGGATTTGTTGCGATTTATGTCAGAGTGTTCTGCCTGTTTTCCTCTAAGAGTTTTATAGTTTCTGGCTTCATGCTTGCTTTTGATTGTAAAAATGCTTGTATCATAGCTTGTAATTTAAATTAAAATATATTTCAGTGGCTAGGAATTGTTATTAGATTTGAATTTGCCTGAAGAGTTGATTGGATGAAGTAAAAAACATTCTAAAGTAGGTGATGTTGTTAAAATATTCCAGATATATGAAACTTTCTCAGGATCTGTGGACTTAACGTCGGTATCAATGTTTTCTTCCCATTAGGTACCTGCATTGTTGCATACTGGAGATACGGTTCGTGGCTTGGGGCGATCAGTTGTCCCATCTGTAGACAAACGGTAATGTTGGTGTGCAGAGAACACACTTATACAAGTCCATTTTGTAAATTGGGCTTCCCTGTGGCTCAGCTGCTAAAGAGTCTGCCTGCAGTGCAGGAGACCCCGGTTCGATCCCTGGGTCGAGAAGATCTGGGAGAAAGCATCGGCTGCCCACTCCAGTATTCTTGGGCTTCCCTGGTGGCTCACTGGTAAAGAATCTCTCTTCAATGCGGGAGACCTGGGCTCAATCCCCGGGTTGGGAAGATCCCCTGAAGAAGGGAAAGGCTACCCACTCCAGTATTCTGGCCTAGAGAATTCTATGCACTGTATGGTCCATGGGGGTCACAAAGAGTTGGACACGATTACATAGTTTCTGTATCTGACTCTTGAATTATTCTTATATTTTTAACAGAACTTCATTTATCCAAAGCTTCTATGATGTTTCTCGATTGTTTTTTTAAATGTCTGTAAGATGCCCCAAAGAAGGGAATTCCCTTTGATATCCGTTTAGTTGCTGTGAGAAAAAAGCTGGTACATGAGTCCCGCACCCCAAACCCTAAGAAGTCTCTGTTGTAACTCCAGCAAAGGGATAACTGAACTAGCAATCAGGCTTCAGCAAACATCCCCCCATAGACTTCTTTTGAGAAAAACTGTTTTTTGGTTGTACTTTATTTTTAATCTACCCTTCCATGGTGAGGATCCAGATAGCTTTAAATGATGAACAATACTTAAAAAAAAAATGTCTCTTTTGGTGACAACAGCCACATTGCATTATCAGAACAGATTAGACCATCCTAGTTGATATAGAAACTCCATCAGGAGGGAGGTGGTGAGCTTTTATAAACATACATTTAAGGCTGAAATGTTAGGACACGTGAGATGCACCAAATGGTCGCAATTCCTTTGACACTGGAGACACAAAATGCTGACAACTCTGAGAAACTGAAGTTCTTTGTTTATAAATTAATAAATATAGCAAAATGGGGTGTTCCATCGACTGTACGTGGTTTTTCAAAATTTCCTTTATATTTCATTTTTCATTTAAAACATATGCCTGAAAATGAGTCCTGAACGTGTGGGAAGTCTTCCAGGGCAGATGGAAGTCCTGAGCAGGACAGAGAGCTTCCAAGTCGAGAAGCCAGACTTGAGCGCCTCCATCTGCTCCCTCTGGCAGCCCCACTGAGATGGGAAAGGCGCCAACCCAGAGAGACCACAGAACAGCCAGAGAAGGAGCAACAGGTTTTCAGAAATCCTTTGTCAACTCTCGTGGACATACAGAAAAGCAGATAAGATAAAGAAGCACAGCTCACTGACTTACCGCCCAGCCACACCTGAGTGACCAGCAAAGGTCCGTCTGGTCAAGGCTGTGGTTTTTCCAGTGGTCATGTATGGATGTGAGTTAGACTATAAAGAAAGCTGAGCGCAGAATTGATGCGTTTGAATTGTGGTGTTGAAGACTCTTGAGAGTTCCTTGGACTGCAGGGAGATCCAGCCAGTCCATCCTACAGGAAATCAGTCCTGAATATTCCTTGGAAGGACTGATGCTGAAGCTGAAACTGAAACTCCAGTACTTTGGCCACCAGATGCGAAGAGCTGACTCATTTGAAAAGACCCTGATGCTGGGAAAGATTGAAGGCAGGAGGAGAAGGGGACGACAGAGGATTAGATGGTTGGATGGCATCACGACTCGATGGACATGAGTTTGGGTGGACTCCGGGAGTTGGTGATGGACAGGGAGGCCTGGCGTGCTGCGGTCCATGGGGTCACAAAGAGTCGGACATGACTGAACAACTGAACTGAACGGAGTGACCAGCACCTTGATGAGGAGCTGGACACTGGCCGCAGCCCCAGCTGCCTCTGCAGGACCTCGTCCAAGTCTCTCCCCCGACCCTTGCCACCTTTCTCTCGTAGAGGTGACCACCATGTGACTGTTAGGACTGCTGTCCTAACTACCCTAATAGTCCTAATCTGGACCATCCTAATTGGACTGTGCTAATAGCCCAATTTCCTCAATTTTCTTTATAGTTTCATTGCCTCAGCATGCTCGTCTAGATTACGGTTTCATTTTGCCTGATTTTTGGACGTTGTATAAATAAAACCGAATAGAATGTATTGTGAAACACAAACATACACAGAAACGTACACACATGTGTGTGCCTCTCAGCGGTGGTTCTGGCTTATTCACCACCCCCCCACCATCACTTCTTTCTTTTTTGGTCAGAGAGACAAAGTTTCAAGGCTTTCTCTTCTTTCCTTCTTGCCTCTTCATCTCCAGATTCTGCCGCCATCACACTTCTTTGTCATGTGATTAGGACAAAAATGACTTTTTTGGTCCCACCTCTCTGGCTGATTTCACGTGCGGCACAAGGCGGTCGACGCTGAAGCTTCCCTGCCGGTGTACCTCTCATCTCCGCCAGCAACACGGAGCCCAGGCCGAAGGTCTGCACCGGAGGCCGGTTCCGCCATCTGTTTCCTCTTCCTGCCGCGGCCCCATGGCTTTTCACAAGGCACATGTGTGTGCTCATCCTTTGGACCACACCTGCATTGGCTAGAGGCTAGAAGGTGGAGATGCTGTTCCTTTAAATAGGTTAGCTTGTAGGTTCCCCAGCCGCAGAGGAAGCGACCCCTCGTCTACCTGCCTGACCACCTGCTTCACTGGGGATCGCACGCAGGCTGCTGCCCATGACGAGCAGGCTCACACGTTTCCCCTGAGCATGCACACTTGACACACCAGTGGTGCAACCACGTTCTTAGGGCAAGCCCGCGTGTCAGGCATTTGAGACACTCCAGACTGAGGACGTCCTTGCCCTCTGGCACCATTGTAACGCCTGCCTACCCCAGTGCTTTATGACCGCTGCATTCAAGCCTGCCTCCTCTTCTGTCTAGGGGATTGTGAACACGGGGGGCAAGGCCACATCTTCACTTTCTTGTGTATCTAGCATTTAGCACAGTGCCTCGCCCAGAGTAAGTGTTAGCTGCTCAGGCGTGTCCGACTCTTTGCAACCCCATGGACTGTAGCCCGCCAGGCTCCTCTGTCCATGGGATTCTCCAGGCAAGAGTACTGGAGTGGGTAGCCATTCCCTCCTGCAGGGGATCTTCCAGACCCAGGGATCGAATGCACGTCTCCTGCATGACAGGCGGATTCGTCACTGTCTGAGCCCCAGGGAAGCCCGGCCCAGAGCAGGTGCTCAGTTAATGTTCAGTGAAGAATTCATTGTATTAACAGGCAGCTGCAGCTGCTGTTCCTGTCACCTGCGGCTCTTGGTGGCTCCTGTGTTTTGCTGCTTGGGAAGCATCTGAGCAGTCAAGTCCTGGTTCTGCAGCTGAGCTGAGGAAGGGTCAAACCCACAGCGAGATGATTGAAACCCAGATCTATCCTGACCGCTTCCCATGTCTCTGGGGGCTCTAACCTTTTAAATGTACTTGTTTTCAAGGTTCCATCATCTTGAGATTACCCAAGTGTAGCCCCGGGACGTTTGTGATCCTCCTCACCTCTCCAGAGGAAACAGGGTTAAACACTGCTTTACACGATAGTGTCAAGAATTACCTTTTTGATCGTAGTAGAGATGGGTGCGGTAGCTTCATGTCTGTATTGTGGTTGGTGGCATTCAAAGAGAATTCAGATGCCAGTGAGGATAAGTAATCATGATTTTAATTGAAGATGAAATCCCTAAATTTTCTCTCTCAAAATAATAAGTATATATTTTTATGTCACTTTGCTCCTGAGTATTTTCGCATCATTCTCGTATCTTCAAATATGTTAGCCTAAAGAGAACCACTGACTTGCTCCCTGGTGTGGACTGAAAAGTCGTTGACCCATTGCTCATTTTATTTTATAGGAGCACAACAACATTTTGTATTGGATTTTGTTGTGAGGAAACAAAAACTTCTTTTCTTCTCCTGTGTGGCCTTTGTTAAAAGAAATGAGCGAAATCCAAATTCAGAAGCTTATCTCATTTTACTGAATACTAACATAAGATGAAAAAATGCTCCAGAAAGGTGTGCCGACTTTTTTTTTCTTTCTGTGATATCCAGGTGACCTTACTGCTCCCAGTATTTGGTGAAGATGACCAGTCTCAGGATCTTGTCTCATTGCATCAGGATATCAGTGATTATAACCGGAGATTCTCAGGGCAGCCCAGATCTGTAAGTAATGTTGCAGCGGGTGCAAAGTTAAGAGTGGAGTGATACTTGTCTTTTGTGAAGTGAGATTTACCGGCAGACACTCTCTAGCTGTGAAAAGTCTGTATGTGTTGGGTAAATTCTTTACCTTATTCGTTGTTGTTTACAGCAACTGGTTTACAGCTCTGCCAAGGACTAGTTCTCTTACCTTTTAAAAATGGCATTATAAAACTTGTTAAGAAAGTGACACCAGCCAAAAAAAAGGCAATAGAAAACATTGGAGGGAAAGGTAAAATTATCAGACTCTTAGGTGGTTCTCAAATAGAGGTTGTCTTATGGGAAACTTACAAGTGAGAACTTCTGGAGGGAGTTTTATAGTTGTGTTTCCTCTGTTTATTTACCCTGTTCGAATTGTTTCCTTAAGTAATCCTAAGTTTTGAGGGTTTCGTATGTCAGGTATTTAAAAGCATTCTATTTTTAAAAGAAATCGTGTTAATTCTACAGCTGCTCCTCCTCCCCCAAAAGGCATCCGATAGATTAAAAACTCACACCTTACTGACTCATCCCAGTGTTCTCCAAATGCAGCAGAGGGTTCTAGAAGTGCATGTGTGACTGAATATGTACTTTGAAACCCAGAACACACTCAGTACAAACCTTACGGGAAGCTCTAGGCACCGATGTCCACCCGCTCAGCGAGCACCCCAGCGGGACGTTCCTGGAGTCTCGGCCACGAGACGTAACGTGAAGGGCACTGCTCAGAATGCCTGTCCCTCTGCTTGTCTCCTGGCTGACTCCTCATCCTCTGGGTCATCCCTAAACAGACCTTCCGCGGAGAGACTGTCCCTGATCAACCAGGGTGGTCTCGGTCATCGCCCTCCGACCTTGTTCATTACCGTTCTCTTAGGAGACAGTTTCATGAGGGTGAGGACCGTGTTTATTTAGTCACTACTGTAATCTCAGTGCCTGGGATACAGTCAGCCTTAGTGTTTGTAGAACTTCACTCAGTTCAGTTGCTCAGTCGTGTCCAACTCTTTGCCACCCCGTGGAGTGCAGCACGCCAGGCCTCCCTGTCCGTCACCAACTCCCAGAGCTTACTCAGACTCATGTCCATCGAGTCGGTGATGCCATCCAACCATCTCATCCTCTGTCGTCCCCTTCTCCCATCTTCAATCTTTCCCAGCATCAGGGTCTTTTCCAATGAGTTGGCTCTTCACCTCAGGTGGCCAAAGTATTGGAGCTTCAGCATCAGTCCTTCCAATGGACTGATTGGAAGTCCAATGGACTTCCATTTCCTTTAGGATGGACTGGTTGGATCTCCTTGCAGTCCAAGGGACTCTTCAAGAGTCTTCTCCAACACCACAGTTCAAAAGCATCAATTCTTTGGTGCTCAGCTTTCTTTATGGTCCAACTCTCACATCCATACATGACTACTGGAGAAACCATAGCTTTGACTAGACGGACCTTTGTTGGCAAAGTAATGTCTCTGCTTTTTAATATGCTGTCTAGCATATAACTTACAGTTATCCTTAAGATAGAAGTGATACTACACCTCTGTATTAAACACCTGTGTAGACTTGTGCTCCCACGTATGTACTGTGTAGACGTGTGCTCCCGTGTACGTACTGTTCCTCATTTGTGATGGCAGGTACATATAAAGGCATACACACAGTTTGCCTGTTGTGGATGGTGATGGGCGAGTCTTTCAGACATCTAAGCTGCAAGGAAAGCTTGACCAGGTCGCTGCTGTCCTCCTTGGGTATTTGGGAGCCTCTTCTGCTGTTTCTTATCCAGCAGTTTTCTTACATATCCTCCAGAGGCATCTTAGGACGATTCTTTGAAAATCAGTGTTTCAAATTCAGGAACTACCACTGAGGTTAAAAAAATTCATTTAAAGATATTCATTGATATTTTTAAGTGTGAAGCATACCATTGCTCAATTATTTTCTGTGTGTCAGATATATACTCAATGAGTAACAAAGCTTGGTGTGTGATGAAATTACAATTTAATAAAGACATTTAGCTCTTAGTTTGGTATTCTACCTCAGAGTTGGAATCATACTGTGATTAATACACAAATATTTCTTGATGGCCCATTTCATATTTTCTTGTCTAATCACTACAGATTTTGTGTAAATGATATGGTATGAGAACTGAACAAAATAGCTCTGGTAAAGGACAGAGACGTATTTAAAGGATGTATCAGCTGGTTATTAGAATATTTGAAATAATTTACCATAGACCTTGTGAAAGCTGTATAGTTGTTTTGCTTTAAATATTAGTTTCTTCCACTAATTGACATAGGAAGTGACATATGTCAACAGAAAATTGACATAGGAAGTGATTCTAAAAGGACCATTCTTGTTCTTTTGGGACCAGTTTTCCAAAAGGAGTTATAAGATTTTCTTTATCTAGTGGGGTTTTTAAAACTGTTCTCTCATCTCTTGCTCAGTTCTCCCCACTTTCATCTCCATTTCCCTCTCAATTTAGACGGCACTTGTTAGACAAATAAAATACAGACTGTTGGGTTTATGATTTTATACAGATGGTTAGCAGTAGGTGGACTCTGGGCAGTGGAATGACCACAGGAAATGACGTGCTTCCCCTGGCCAGTTTCTCTTGCATCTCCCAGCCCCTCAGAAATGAGACCTCAAGGACGTGACTGAAGAGTGCTGCATTACCACACAGGACCATACGGTCACAGTCAGCCAGAAGCTGCACGGAGCAAGTGACAAGTCTGCAGTCAGACAGTCAGCTGACTTGCTCAAGGTCATACAAATAGGCACGGGTTCTTTTCTTTTTTGAACAATTGTATTTGCATGTGATTTACATGCCATAAAGTATACCTGTTTCAATTGTATAATTCAGTGGTTTTCAGTTATATTTACATAGTAAATATAATCTAATTATTAGTCTGTATATATTCAGAAAAATAATCACTTCCAGAAAGGGTAAGGCCTGGCATTCCAAAAATCATTGTGGCAATTAGTAATTCACTTAAACTCAAGTTCAACAGAATAAACATAAGGAAATCAGTTTCACTGATACTCTTAGATGGTCAAAGCCATCCAAGTTGATGTGTCTGTATATTTATATAATATATATATATGTTCTATATATATAGTCTGGCAATTTATAAAGGTCTTTTATAACAGTATCTTTTCTAGTTCTTAATATTCCTTGTGGCATATACCCAGTTAGATGCTGACTTATCTCAAGTAGGTTAAACCACTTTCCCCAAGGTCACCTGGCTAATAAGGGATTGACTTTGAATTCAAACCCAGATCTGTCCAACCTTAAAGTTCAGACTTGAGCTCAAGCCTCAGCTTAAAACTACACACAGGTTCTTCATTGGTTTACTTTACTAGCTCAAAGTAGAGATAACTTGATTTTGTATTATTAATACTATATCCTGTATTTTAAGTTTGTTGACACTTTAGTTGCTTTTCAGTTGTCTGTAATAAGACCTGTTTTATAAAAACCTAGTAATCAGAGAACTATTTTTTAAATAAAATAAGTAGAAAATACGGTGTTCTGTCAGTATGTGAATCTCCTTCATTTATGTTAATAACTGCATGTATTAAGAAAATTGTATTATTTTGATGTCTGACACGTTCAATAACAAATCATATTTGTTCTTCTTCTGCCAGATTATGGAAAGAATTATGGACCTCCCCACTTTACTGAGGCATGCATTCAGAGAGATGTTTTCAGTCGGGGGCCTTTTCTGGATGTTCCGTATCAGGATAATACTTTGTTTGATGGGAGCGTTTTTCTATCTTATATCACCTCTAGATTTTGTACCTGAAGCCTTGTTTGGAATTCTCGGCTTTCTCGATGATTTCTTTGTCATCTTTTTGTTGCTCATCTACATCTCTATTATGTATCGAGAAGTAATAACACAGAGACTAAACAGATGAAAAAACATGAGTTTACTAAAACATCTGAGCTGATGTGTAACATCAGACAAAAGGACCATGGCAGTATGAAGTATCTGAATATTATCTAATGAGCTTAAAACCACTTTATGACAAACATTTGATTATCATTTGGCAAATACCTAGCAATATATGACTGGAATTTTTACATGTTGCAGATCCTAATATTAAGGTTAGAATTACTGTATCTTGATTCTGTGTTGTCTATAAACTCTGTGGAAAAATATGGAATTACATAAAATGGGTTGCTTCCTTTTCTTCTATCTTCTCTCCCCTCCAAATTACTCAGATTAATTGAATGTTTAGTGAGATATTGTCAGATGTAAAGTTTATCAGATTCATCCTTCTCAGTGAGTACCTACATGATAATATACTGCTATGAGCCTCACCTAAATATGTTTATTACAATAAAATATTGTACAATATTGGGGAAAAGTCAGTGTTTCTTTGCATACTGGCTAACTTTTGTGCATTTGAAGCAGTTCTGCTTTTCCACTCCAATATAATTCTTTGTCGTCAGCTGAAAGTGAAAGAAGAAACTTGAACTTTGTTAATTTGGTTTCATTATCTTGCTTTACAGAACACTTAACAGAAGAATTAACAAACTGTAAGACATTTGTCTCCAGTCAGCACACTTGATATTCTGTTACGGCATTTCTGTAAGAGTTTGGTCCTTTTATAGGAATAGCATGTAAAAGTTTCAGTATCTTCAAAAGGGAATTTTTTTTCCAGGAACCTGGGTGATCCTGCAGACTCATGGCAGCTCAGCCCTCCTCAGGAAAGCGGCGTTCATGACTGTGAGCACCAAAGCCCTTGGGAGGTTACTCTTCCCTGCTTTGTGTTCGTTGCTCGGGCGTGACCCCGTGGACTGCAGCCCAACAGGCTCCTCTGTCCACGGGACTCCCTAGGCAAGAACACTGCAGTCGGTAGCCATTCCCTTCTCCAGAGGATCTTCCCAGCCTAAAGATCAAACCTGGGTCTCCTGAGTTGCAGATGATTCTTTACCATCTGAGCCACTAGGAATACTTATCGGAGGGTACCAGGAGCACGGTTTAAATCTGACAGAGAAATTAACAATGGGCTGTAGCGACAGGTGGACAGATTTGGTTAATTTTCTCTTGTCAGAAAACTGTTGTCATACTGTCCTTAGACGGCAGGACATAGCCCAGATTCATCAGGCCTTGTGCAGAAGGAGAGGAGTACGGAAGTTATCTTGGTGTTTGGATGACTGCAGTGTTAAGTACCTAAGCTCCCCTCTGCAGTTTGCTGTTTGCGAAGAATCAAAACCACAGGTGTTATGACATCTTAGGCCCCTCGGCTGGCACTGCTCGTGAGTGACCTGGACTGCAGGGTGGTCTCTGATCCCCGGGGCTCGGGCAGTGTCAGCTCTGCCCTCTGCAGTCCCCCGCTGCCCACCTTGTCCACCCCCACATCAGGGGGCCTCGCTGTGGACAGACGGGGAGAGACATAGATCAGTCACAGTCCTCCAGGTGAGGCCAGGCGCTATCAACTGATGAGATGCTGAATGATGGATGATACGTCAACAACAGTGCCTTGTCACTTGGGCCTAAGACCAAGCTGCTGCTTGTCAGAGAGGAAAACAAAATCCTTAAGTACAGCACATTGTATTTAAAGCAGTTTCTTGCACACTTTTCATTTTACCCTCAAGACAGTTATGTGAAGAAGGCAGGCAGGGCATTACCTTCCTCTTCACAGATGAAACTCCTGATGTAGATGAAAGGGGGTTTTTTTTTTTGGTCTGAAGCCATGCACAAGTAAGTGACTGAACTGGTATCAGATGCCTAGGATTCCTACATGGGGACAAACTGGGATCCTTTGGAAGATGTTTGGAACATACATAGGAATAGGAAAGGTCTAGAAAGATGACACATCACAGCTACATGAATCCTGATTCTACAGTTGACAGTCTACTTCTCACAGGGTAGCACATTTCATAGGGAAACATTTCAGCGGCACTGACTTGAAAAGCAGTGAGTAGGAGTTTGTTACACCACCATTTACTAGTCTCGAAACGCATTTCCTAACAACTACACATTTGGTGTGGGGCTGCAGCCATGTCATTTTTGAAAGGATTTAATTTTCTGTGCACGTGTTCTGCTTCAAGTGTGACACAGTGCTTTTATTGTAACATCTGGAATTCCTTCTACAGCTTTCCTGGTAGAGGTGTATTGTACCAACTTTTGTAACATACAACACTGTGTGGAGTCTTACTAAACTGAAAAGGGAACATGCTGGCATCTCAGAATTCTAGACGTTTATCATGTCACCTTTATTGATCACTGATGATAAATGTAAAGGGGGTCTGAGTATATAAAGCAGGTAGAGTCAGTCAGTGTTTTAAACACCATAGTGGTACTTGTGCGATTCAGCGTTAGCGCTTACAAATCAAAGCGACAATTTGGATTTTTATAAACAATAATATTGTAACTTTCACAAAAACAGATGGTCCAACCCCAAGAGCAGATGGTAACCTGGGCAGCTCTGTGGGGAGCGAAGCTGGTCGGAGGAAACAGGTGTCTTTAACTGTCCACCAGAACAGTGGTTCCAGCGACCACCGTTCTCAGCATCTGAAAGAAAGCAACACGAGAAAGGGTTGTGTTGGTCCCCGTGCCGTGCAGATACCTACCTCACAGAGTTGTCTCAGAGGACTGACAGTTTGGTTCAAACTTTGTGATTTAAGAGTTTGTCAAAAAAAAAAAAAAAAGAGTTTGTCAAGCAGTTATTCTTTTGAATAAAAGCAACATATGTAACATTTAAAAGTGGCTTTTACTGTCTGGTTTCTTTGATACTGTTTGCCTTAATTTCAGAACTCCTGAAACAGCATTCCATATAAAATGGTTGCAGTGACTTTTTCACCAATTTTGCTTTGATATTTAAAAATTCTTTAAACATAGAAATGTTTTTGAGGAATATTATTTAATCTGGGCAATCTATATTAATTCTAGACAGTTAAGGGTGAAATTGGAATGAGAGTTAAGACTTGCACCGTGACTCCCACCCCATTTGAGTGTGTCTCTTATGGAAATTGTTGGTTGATAACCTGAAATGAGTGAGGGACACGAAAGGGCACTCAGGTGTGAAGGCCCGAAGAGGCTCCCAAGAGCGGGCGGGCGGGCTTTAGGGGCTGCTGACAGGAAGTGATCCTGTCACAGAGGTGAAGACAGCCGTTGAGCTTTTGTTGTAGCATCAGAACCAGACCACCGTCATGGTGTCAGTATTTGTTCTGAGCATGGAGTTCTTGACTGCAAGCACATCTGAGACACTGTCAGTCACTGTCTGCTTCATCCGCTGCCGCCGGTCTTGTCCCAATCCAGACGGGGCACGAGGGGAGTGCACACCTGTCAGACAACCCTGAACCTGTCTCAACGCTGTCCTTTTCCTTCCAGACTATCTCCTATTGAGGGGAATGTAGTATGTGACACAGAAGAGGGCTAAACGCTAAATAAAGATGTTTTAGTTATATCTAACAGTTTAGATTTTACTTAATTTCAAAACAATTTAAAAATAACGACTTAAAAATATCTAATAATTCGGATCAAAACATTCACTCTGCTAACCAGTCTTACAGAAAACCTGTAATTTATATCTACATGAAAATCTTGTTTCACGAATCCTAGAATGTCAGAGCTATAAAGGACCCTAGAAACTGATGAAATTTTGTGTTTTCTCTGTGAAAACGGGTAGAAACTATGAATAGCTCCCCAGCTACACACAGGTATACTTTTGGTTCATTTTCAGGGGATTCAAAGAGCTGACCATTCTTGGGTTCCAAATTAAGAATTCTTCAGTCCTACCACCTCACCCTACAGATGAAAAGAATGAGGCCCAGAGGGAATGAATAGGGGGGTATTTTAATATAAAAACTTTATAGAAAAAGTAGCATAGCTGGATAGAAACTAAAATCTAAACTATTAGAGATCAGTAAACTTAAGGCAGGTTTAGGCCTTAGCCTTCTCCAACACTGAAACAAGTGGCTTATTTTTCTTCAGTGTACCCTTCTAGAAAAACTGGGACAAAACTTACCCTTTTCAGCTTAAGGGGTAAATTTTCTGTTTTCCTTAAAAAAATGTTCTATTAGTAAATGAATTAGCCTCTTAAGACTTTGAAGAACATCAATTAACAGTATCCTTCAGTTTATCCCTATTTATTCTTTTAGATGGTCCTATAAAGCTATGTATGTATTAACCATTGATATTTATCGAAGGGGTCAAATGAAGAGATCATATGACCATACAAACAGCTTTCTCTTAAAAAAAAAAAGGGCAGTTTTGCCTATCTTGTGTGGCCCTTGTTTGCTTAATAAGCTATTTTATTAAAGTCAGACACCAAACGTTAAGTCATCAGGATCAGATGATGCCTTATCATGATGTGAACATACCAATCAACTATCACTTCAGTCAACAGAGGCATCACCACCATCCTATAATTCCCTTCATGTGCCTGATTTCTTCAACATTACATTTGTAAGAAGTATCCATGTGGTGGGGCTGCTTTATTTTGCTTGCCATATAGTTTTCCATTTATGACTGTGCCACAACTTACTCAACTATTAATGGACATTTGGGTGGCTTCCATTAACTTTTTTAAAAAGCAGACAATCATCTTTGAAAGTATGATGAAGTCTTTGAAAGACTTCCTTGAAGTCATCCCTTGATAAGTAAGGAACAGTTATCCTAGTCTTAGGATGTGTTAAGAAACGGGCAAAGTAAAAAAGAAAAGCTGATGATGGGTTAGAGGTAGTGAAAATTATTTTTCTATTAAGCAAATAAATTGGTTTGCAGACCACAGTGAAAATTTAGCTTGGGGGGTTGTTTTTACAAAGAAAAATACAACACTCAGTTCAGTTCAATAATATATATATTTAAATTACATGCAATTCACTTCACCAGTAAATTTACCATTCTGAAGTAACGAAACATTAGGATAATATTCAACAAGTAATAAGAGTGCTTATTTCATTT